ATTTCTTTTGAATTGTGATGTATCTTTTTCCATCCCTTTACTTTCACACTATCTTAAGTTTTATATTTGCAGTAAGTTTCTTATAGATAACAGACTGTTGGGTCTTTGTTTTGTTTTTTTCATCCTCTCTGAGAAGCTCTGTTTTTTAATTGTTTCATTTAGACCATTCACATATAAAATGATTATTAATATCATTGGGTTAATATCTTCCATGTTTGCAACTGTTTTCTATTCATTCCTCATAGTCTTTCTTTTTGCCCCCTTTTCCTGCCTTTTCTGTTTCTAATGGAGCAGTTTATATCATTCCATTTATCTCCTCTCTTAGCATATTAATCATGCTACTCTTTTAAATTTGTTAATGGTTGCCTTAGAGAGTTTGCAGGACTTCCCCAGTGGCTCAGCTGTAAAGAACCCACCTCCAAGGCAGGAGGCACAGGAGGCAGAGGTTTGATCCCTGGGTTGGGAAGATCCCGTGAAGGAGCGCATGGCAACTCACTGCTGTATTCTTGCCTGGAGAATTCCATGGACAGAGGAGCCGGGCGGGCTACAGTCCATGGGATTGCAAAGAGTCCCACACGACTGAGCGACTAACGAAACAACATTCTTTACCTTCAAGCTCCCAGTCCAATTGACTTTCCTTTATGTGGCAGGTCAGCCTGAGTTGGCAGAGGGTTCTGCCTGGAGCTAAGCCGCTAGCCTTTAAGACCACAAATTTCCCAGACGGAAAATCACGTTTGCCCCTGTCATGTCACGGGACTGTGTTGTGACAAATGTGGGCGTGTCACTGGTTCATCTTACCTCTTCCAATTCTGCACATGTGCCATAATATACTCAGAGTTGGGAATGGGAATATCCATAACGCAAAAGGTGTATTATCAAATCATGTCGATGAAGGAATCATCCTATGCGCGCTCATGCGCGCACACAACCCCCCCGCCCCCGCCCCCGCCCCATTCCCCACGAAGTGCTACAAAATATAGATTTTGCAAAGCAGTGGCCATATCTCCTTCACATTGCCTGAAATTTCTATCTAGAAATCTTTACTCATACTACTTTGGAACATTTTTATGGGATTGTGGATCTTTCCAATTTAAGCATTAAATTGAAATTAAACAAATTAAAAAAACAAGCACCGTCAAGGCTCTCCCGCGTGCGTCCTTTCGCTTCCTGTCCAACCTCTGTGCCCCCATGGACTATAGCCCACCATGCTCCTCTGTCCATGGGTTTCTCCAGGCAAGAATACTGGAGTGGCTAGCCATGCCCGTCTTCAGAGGATCTTCCTGACCCTAGGATCGAACCCATCTTTTCTGTATTGCAGGTGGATTCTTTACCCACTGAGCCACCTGGGAAGCCTAAGGCCTTATGATTTTAAGTAAAAACTAAAACAAGGAAGGAATTCAACATAAATACATACTGAGCTATTACTATGTTTGAAGCCTCGTGCTAAATAGTCTATAAAGCAAATTCCATAAAGGAGAAACACAAGGAAAGGCCTTTTACAGTAATATGCTGCTAAGTCGCTTCAGTTGTGTCCGATTCTGTGTGACCCCATCAGGCTCTGCTGTCCCTGGGATTCTCCAGGCAAGAACACTGGAGTGGATTGCCATTTTCTTCTCCATTACAGTAACATAACATCCAACAAAAATTCTGTAGTTACTCCTTTCTAACCGAAGAACAATTTTGCTACAACAGGCACTAAGATTTTGCAAAAGATGCACTCAGATTTCTCAACCTGGGTCAACCTCAAGGTTGTTAAGGATTACTCATTATTTAAAAATATGGAATTTTGTCCCATTGTTATAGACCGTGTTCACTTTTAGCTTCAAACATAGTCACCTTGCTGTTGACCCAGGACATCCATCCCCTCTACCCCACTGACAAGTTATCTGTCAACATAGATCCATGCTTTTCGCCCTAAAATGGGCATAACCAAAAGAGAAGGGAAATCACGTGCCAAGGCACAGAAATCTTAAATTCTTGTGTGCTTTGGCACATGGTCTTTAATCCGGTTTTCCCAAGGTTGCACTAGCTAGGCTCTTCAAGGTCTCTTGCATCTGCAGATTACTACTGCGATTAAAACGTATCTCTTCTTAGAAGGAATTCACATAAAGCTCCTGCCTCTATGGGAAATTAGCTAGCTGAGGGTTTAGGCTAACCACAGGGTAGGAGTGAATCTGGTCTCTCTGAAAAACCTTCCAGGGGCTAGCATCCCCGCCAGCAACAGAGCTCGCCTAGGTACCACGTGTCTGCACCAACAGCGGGATTGGCCGAGCGCATTTTAGCTCTGCGGTCTAGACGCGCACGGTCCCGCCCAGCTGCCAGAGGAGCCTGGAGGCCGAGAGAAGTGGTTGGAGGGAGATCGCGGAGGGGAGGGGGCGGGAGGGGGGTGGGGGATCCGGAGGCGCCCGTGGCCGGGAATCTGGGAGGGCCCTGGGCGGCGCCCGGCGGCTCGCCTCGCCACAACTCGCCCGGAACACACAGGCCTCACCCTGCGCCCTGGAAGAAGGAGCCGGCCCACCGCTTCCCGCTGGGCTGCTCCTCGGCCTCCACGGGCCCGCCTGCGCCAGCAGCACCCCTGGGATCTGCGTCCCCAGCCTTGCCCCCGTCCGCCTGCAGCGCCCGGCGCCCGCCCAGGAGCGCGCGGCAGGGGTGAGTCGAAGTCCGGGATGCGCCAGGCGTGCAGGGGAGGCCGGAGCATCTCGGTGCCCGCGAAGCCGTGGCCTCCTCCGTCTTTTTCGCCGAAGCGAGACTAGGCGCTGCAGACCCCGCGGGCCTGCCTGCCGCAGTCCTCACACCCCGTTTGTCTTGCCTTCAAGGGGCGGCACTGGAGCCCGCCTTCCGGGGCCTTTGTCTTTGTGGATTTGGCGGGTCGGCCCAGCGGTGCGCCCGGGGCGGGAGACGCTGCACCCGGCTGGCGGCCCTGCTGAGGCCTGGGGGCCAGAGAAAATGGGAAAGCGGGCCCCCTTCTTTCCTGTTCCGGCCATCTTGCGACTCAGATTCAGCCGAGGGGCGAGGGTGGCCAACCACACGGCGCTCGGGGCCAGGCTGGTGGCCGGGAGTGGAGATGAGCGCCTCCGGGCCCTGCGCGCCTCCTCCCCCGAATGCAGTGGGAGCGCGCGGAGAGACCCCCACCTGCATTTCCAAGGGCTTGAACCCAGAGCCCCGGTGAATTCCCCTAACAGGCCAGAGGCACAGGTAATACGAGGGACAAGGGCCGGGAGCTGACGTTTTACCTAACCAAGCGCCTAATTCATTCGGATTATCCTTTATCCACGTGTCCTTTTTGGCAAATTCTTGACACTTTTTCTCTGCCTGATTTATACTAGGTGCTGGGGATATAAAGGTGAGCAAGAGAGACCACGGCCCTTGTTCCCGCTGATCCTGCAGCCCAGTGGATGGAGTCCACAGTACCTAGACCTGCCAGGTTGGTGTCCTGACGCCTTTTAAGCAGATTGGGAAACTGAAGCCTAGGGCTGATATAACTTGTTCTGGGTCTGCACGTGGAAGAATCAGACCCTGAAGCTAGATCTGTAAGATTTGTATGCTGGCTGCAGTGAAACGGTAATAGCTCTTTTTCCCCCAAAAAATCCCATTCAAAATTATTGGGATGTTTGGTTTCTGTGAAGTCTTAAGAAGTGTATGCTTAAATTTTTGGATGCTTTCATGTGGACTTATTTGTAGTTCTCAGTGTTTAGAAAGGGCTAGAAATGGTTGATATTACAACGTTGCTTCCAGTTACTCTCAACTGTATTTTCCTTTCTTCTGTTCTTTGGCTGTTAGGAAAGACAGAAATTTTCCTGATGGTTGGTCCAAACAGGGACTCCCGGGTGGACTGAGGGATGGCTGGCTTTTCCTCAGTTCATGCATCTCTGTGGTAGCCACAGGCAGCCCCCAGAAGACCTGGAGAATGAGAGCCCTGAGGTCTACAGGTTGCTGCTAGAAATATTTTAGCCCCTCCAGAAAACAGAATGCAGCTGCCACACAAGTTTGTAAGGTAAATACCAGGGCCCTATAAAGTTTCCCCTCCATATAATTGTTTACATCTTTATGTTTTGAAAATGTGTCCTTTTGGAAAGACAAGGAAAGTTATTACACATTCTGGGAAGTTCTCTGGTTTGTAAGAGCTTTCCTGGTAGCTCAGATGGTAAAGAATCTGCCTGCAATGCAGGAGACCCGGGTTTGACCCTGGGTCAGGAAGATCCCTTGGAGAAGGAAATAGCAATCCACTCCAGTATTCTCCTCTGGAGAATCCTATGGACAGAGGATCCTGGCGTGCTATAGCCCGTGGGATTGCAAAGAGTCAGGCTCAACTAAAGGACTAACACACTCACATGCTCCATCAAATATAATTGACTACACTACAAATTTAATTCTTAAAACAACTATAAGTGTACTATACAAAATGGGCCCTTAATTTTCAGTGTACCATTCAATGAGTTTTGACAAATGTATATATATCCCTGGGTAATCAACAGCCCAATCAGGATAGAGAACATTTTTTATTATACCCCCAAAGTATCTTCATGCTCTCTGGCAGCCAGCCTCCCTCCATCCCACTGATTTTTGCAAAGATTTGTGTCTTAACGTTTTTCTGAGCTGCGTGTGAAAGATGAGGATGAATGGCTATTTCTGATCCCCAAATCTCAGGCGACGGTCAGAGGCGGGCTGCTAGGATGTGGTTCCTCACCCTTAGGGACTTGGAGGGTGGCGTCTGGGGAACCGGGAAGTGCGTCCCCTGGAGGGGTGGGCCGGACTGTCCTCGGGGCCCACGACGAGCTCTCGTCTGGTCCCGCAGGACTCTGGGCGCCCGCTGACCGCGCGCTGGCCGCCTCGCACTTCGCTCCAGGTGGCCGCCCGGGGCGCTGCCATAGCAACCTCCTGGACGCCCAGACCTTAGGCCGCCGCCGCCGGGACCCGGCCTTCTCCCGCTCCCCAAGGGTGGGGCGGCGGCGGCCCTGGAGGCGGCCCGGGCCGGGAAGACGGGACTGCCCCCTCCCCCGATGCCAGCGGAGGCCGCGGATTTGCTTCGGAGCATGGTAAGGGGGCGGGAACCCGGGGATGCCAGTCTGCGGAGGCGGCGGGGTGGGATGGGGGGAACGATGGAGGGCGGCGGGACCCCCAGCTCCCTCCGCCTCCCCCCGCTTCTGTCTCCTTCCCGCAGCCCTTTCAGAAGCACGTCTACTACCCGCTCGCGGCCGCCGGCGGCCTGGAGGGACCCGACGCCTCCGCAGCGGCCGCGGCGGGCGGGGCCGCCACGGCCTGTGGCCCCCCCAGCGCGGCGTCGGGCCCCCTGCCCTTCTTCCAGTTCCGCCCGCGGCTGGAGAGCGTGGACTGGCGGCGGCTGAGCGCCATCGACGTGGACAAGGTGGCGGGCGCCGTGGACGTGCTCACGCTGCAGGAGAACATCATGAACATCACCTTCTGCAAGCTGGAGGACGAGAAGTGCCCGCACTGCCAGTCGGGGGTGGACCCGGTGCTGCTGAAGCTCATCCGCCTGGCGCAGCTCACCATCGAGTACCTGCTGCACTCGCAGGAGTTTCTCACCTCGCAGCTGCACGGCCTGGAGGACCGGCTGCGCCGGAGCCTGGCTGAAGGCGAGCACAGCAAGAAGCTGCTTACCAAGCAGGCCGGCGAGATCAAGCTGCTCAAGGAAGAATGTAAACGCAGGAAGAAGTTGATCTCCACCCAGCAGCTGATGATCGAGGCCAAAGCCAGCTATTACCAGGTGGGACGTGCCTGGCGATTGGCCAGTAAAACCCTTAGCGCCTACTGGCTGGGATATGGAGAGTCCTTTCCTATAGCCCTGCCATTTGTGTTTGTTTAAGATTTGTTTAAATCAGGAGAAAGTAGTCTTCAAGCGAAAGAGTACTTTTAACTAACAGATGACATGGCTCGTTACCTTGTGCAGACTAACACAGGGTTAATAATTTAACGAGCAGCCTTGTCTGCAGTGCTTTAGTGAGTTATCTAAAAGCCGGGGTGGTTCAAGAAGCTGTTTCCTCCTCCTAACAGGTGTAATGAAAAATAAACCAGGTGCAAAGTTCTGTTGAGGTTGGGCCCCAGATGATATGGAATGCTTACATCTTGTGTATTTTCTCCCCCTTCATTTTTAAATTTTGAAATGTTTTAAAATTTACAGGAAGATTGCAAGAACAGTGCTAAGATTTCCTTATACCCTTCAACTATATTCACCAATTATTAGCATTTGCCACCTTGGCTTTATTTCCTCTGTCTATGTATCATGCTATTACTGTTGAGCCATCTGGCAGTGAGTTTCAGAGTCCTAAATATTTCAACATATATATTTTCTAAGAAGAAGAATACTTGCTAGTATAACAGCACTGTTTAAAAATTTAAAAATTCTTGTCTTTTTGTTCTTAATCTTCAACTGTTTGTTCTTGAACCCGAGATAAATATTGTCATTTTTGAGTGTAACGAAGTCAGCGTATGTATCTTTTATGAATTAGGTGGAGAAAGGAAGAATGCTTGATGAAGATATCAAAGTAAGCAATAGACTGACAAGATTGATTTCACACCCTTACATTCCAGTCATTTTGGCTAAATAGGACTGAACAGGCCTTAGTGGATTTAGGAGAGAGTGTGGAGAACTGGGTATAGGTGCAGAAAACAGTGTGGTTAATTATGCTTAGGACTGTCCCAATAGGAGCCTTGGGAGAAGTGTATTTAAACTAGGTGAACAGTTGGGAAAGAATCCTGATAGAAAGTCTTAATGTTTAGCCTTGGGTACACAACCCCTAGGTGAAACCATCAATGATACCTGATATTGATAATTGCCTATTTGTTTCACAAATGCTATTTAAAAACTAAAATTGATGAATAGTGCTGAGATGGTTCTTTAGAAATATATTATCGTAAAGTAGATAGAATGGGTTCTGTTTAAAACCTTTAAAGAAAGTACACCTGGCTTTGATATTAAGCAGTGAACCCTTAAAACCTGTAAGATAAAAATTTTATGTTTATAAACATTTTTTCATTCTTTTGGTTGTCATAGAAATAGCTGTTAGTAAATGAAGACATTACAATGTTAATGATATATGAGGATAATAAACTAATGGCACACTTCTCTCAAATGAGTGGAACCTGCCAACTCTTTGACCACTCAACAGACCCTCTGAGTGGTAGTGTGTGCCCAGGGGTGGTCAGGAAGAGGTAGGAAAGACCACACCGCCTTTGCCTACTTAGTGTATGTAGTGCAGGCATGCTCTGCCCTCTGTTAAGTGACTTGCCATTGTCTCTTGGTGGAGTTGTTGAGCTGTGAGAGCATTTAGGGTGACAACTCCAGAGTTATTCGACTTGGGTTTGAATCCCAGCTATTCCTCTGCACAAGTCATTTAGCTTCTAACCCTTAGTTTCCTCATCTGGAAGACAAGAACCTTAGTAGTAGAATCCCATGAGATAATGCACGCATAGCCTGAGGTGGTTGGTTTAGGTGGTTTAGTCGCTAGGTCGTGTCTGACTCTTGCGACCCCGTGGACTCTAGCCCTCCAGTTTTCTCTGTCCTTAGGATTCTCCGGGCAAGAGTACTGGAGTGGGTTGCAGTTTCCTTCTCCAATAGCATGAGGAAGGCTCAGTAAACAGCATCTGACAAATGGATGTTGATATCTGCAGGGGCTTCTTCATAGTGAACTGTGGTTACCTGTGATCTATGTCTTTGTGATATAATTATGATGAATAAGCGTAAGGCAGAACCTGAATAAGAAAGCATGTAAATAGCACAGTAGGACTGAAGCAGCAAAATCAAGACTGAGAGAAACTCAGCAGGACAAATGTTCAATTTCTTTATCAAGAAAGTTATAAGGAAAAGAGAGCTGGAGTTTCAGCCTATAGACTAGCAGAGAATTAAGGGACAAAACAACTAATGCAAGGTATAACTTTATTTGGGCCCTGATTCAAAACAAAGTGCAAAGGATGTCCCTGGTGGTCCAGTGGCTAAGACCCTGTGCTCTCAGTGCAGGGGGCCCAGGTTCCGTCCCTTGTCAGGGAATTAGATTCCACATGCCGCAACTAAGGCCTGGTACAGTCAAATACATAATAAAAATAAAAAAGTATTTTAAAAAAATGCAAAAATATTTTCTAAGATGTGTGAAATATTGGGAAAAAAAATAAATGGTTGGATATTTGTCAATGATTAAGGAATTTACACATTTTAGAAGGTGGGATGATAATATTATGATCATGTTAAAAGAAAATCTTTTTGGAGATAGATTCTGAAATATGGACAGACGAAATATGTAATATCCAGGATTTACTAAGAATAATCCAGGGGAAGGATATAGACGAACAGTTGATTTTTTTTTTTTTTGCTTAAAAATTATGTTAAAAGGTAGAGAATAGAGATATTGGTAGGACTGGTTTTTTTCAGTAAGTTCATTTTAGGAGACCAAATATTCCTAAGCTTCTGATCAATGATCTGTTAATGCTGGACTCTGGGGATAAAGCTGTGAAGAAAGAGAAGAGAGTTCAAACTCTCAGGAAGCTGACATTCTAGATCCTAGAGGAACTGGACAGGAGATAAGAAGCAAAGGAAGTAACTATACCTGACAATACTAAGTGGTGAGATGAACCGTGATGAAAACAAGACAGGGCCTGGCAGGGGGCTCATCCGGGAAGATGTCTTAAGGACGTGCAGCACGGCCCCAGCACAGAAGATGCTCCGTAAATGACATCTCGGATGTTGGGAAGGAGCCAGACTTTCATGGAAAGTCTGGGGGAAATTCAGGCAGGGCACTGGCCGATGCAGAGTGTCTGAAGCTGGCCCGTGTGAGGGACAGGAAGAAGGCTGGCATGGCTGGAGTGTCATGGACAAGTTGGTGCTGGTGGGCTGGGAACCACCTGTGTAAGGGGAGCAGCCTCAGGGGCTCCATAAACCACCATGATGGGCTCCGTTAACTGAGATGGTTTTTACTGACATGTGTCCAGTTTGGGATGAACACCCTGGTTGTAAATGTCTTTTTAGTTATGCTTTCAGCATCACTTGCCAGGCTGGTATCTCTTGGGGAAAAGCCCCCAAGAGGGAGTGCTTCAGGCACCCAAGTTTTAATTCAAATTAGGTGGAAGGGCACTTCTTAGAGACACTTGGAGTCATTGCTCTCTCCTTTTCAGTGCCATTTTTGTGACAAGGCCTTTATGAACCAAGCTTTCCTACAAAGTCATATTCAGCGCCGCCACCCTGAAGATTCGCATCTTGGTAAGTAGTGAGCTCTGCCTCCCAAGAGCTATTTTCTTTAGCCCTATAATAAAGGTACTATTTCTGGTAGCTTTTTCTTTTTTCAGCGAGACATGGTCCAAAGCATCTCTCAGTCCTTTTAAAAGAAAGCATCATAGTCCTTGTTTGAATACTCATTAAGTGAATATTGATCCCCTGTTATGTGCCATGTACTGCATTAGGGCTCAAGGATGCAGCCATAAGCAAAACAGACCCTGTCTGGCTCTCTTACATCTTAATAGAGGGGATGGAGGAGCCACATCTAAACAACTGAGTGATGTTTTCAAATGGTGGCAAGTGCAGTGAAGAAAATAAAGTAAGAGAATGGAACTGAGAGTGACTCCTGGTGGTCAGCCAAGGCCTCATTAAGGAGGTGATATTTGATCAGAAACCAGAATGATGACGGGGTCCCGGCATGCAGGAAATCTAGGAAATGAAGATCTCAGGCAAAGGGAATTCTCACTGTCAGCTGTGTTTGGGGGGGTGGGGCAGGCTGGTGTTTTTGGGGAACAGATAAAAGTTTGGTGGAGCAGAGTGAGCAGAGGTGGGCTAGGAAGGGGCCAGGTCACGTAGGGCCTCAAATGCCCTGGGTAGGGTTATGGGTGATTTAATCAGCATAATGAGAAGCCACTGGAGGATCTTAAGTTGGAGGAGTGGGGACATGATGTAATTTGGACTGGTATTTTTATATTTTTTTGGCTGAGCCACTCAGCTTATGGGATCTTAGTTCCCTGACCAGGGATCCAAAGCACTGCCAGTGAAAGCATCAATCCTAACCATGGGATGGCCATGGAATCCCCTCCAGTTTGTACCTTTACATGACCCATCTACTAGTGGGCGGGGGACAGACGGTAGGGATGGAGGTGGAAGCAGATTGAAGCATCAGGAGGCTGCAACAGGTAGTCCAAGGGAGAGAAGGTGGCAGCCGGACCAGGACGGGAGGTGGGAAAAGTGGAGATGGAGAGGATTTATTCTGGACACAGAGCCCACAGAGATGTGACTTCACGTGGGAACAGGAGATGAAGTAAAGATGATCCTGGGCTTCTGAGGGTCGTGGGTACACTCAAGTCACACATACAGTCGCCATGCCCATGGGGATGCTGGAGGTCAAGGTAGAGGCCCAGGCTGGAGATAAAAACCTGGCAGTCGTTAGCAGAACTGGGCTGGATGAGGTCACTTAAAAAGAGAAGACAACTCAGGGCCAGCCCCACACTAGGAGCCCAGGAAGAGCAGCTGACAGGGAGAAATAGCAGTGATGGAGGCAGGAGGGAAGTGGAGAGTGTGTTGTCATGGAAACCAAGGGGGCATGAGGGTTTCAAGAAGGAGACAGTGACCCCCAATGATCTTGAGGCACAGAGTAAGATGAAGACTGAGAAGTGAACATTGTTTTTCCCACGGCCGTTGGTGGCCTTGACATAGTGGCAGCGAACTGCTGGGGACAAAAGCTGGACTGGAGTGAGCTGAGCTGAGGATCCGGCAAGGAAGTGGTCATGTTGATTACAGCCATTTATTTCAGTAACGTTTGCTGGGAGAGAAAGCAGGGACAGGAGGCAGTATCTGGAGGGAAAGTGGGACCAAGGGAAGATTATTGTCTCATTTGCAGTGGGAGATACTAAGATGTGTTTGGGTGCCAGTGTGAATTAACCAGTGCCTAGAGGGGCTAATTGAAGGAGCAGAAGGGAGGAGGGGTTCTGTGGCTTGCAAGGAACCAGGTTTGCGACTAATCTAAATGTTATCAGAAGCAAAGAATGCAAGGCCTGTTTCTCCATGAGCAGAACAGAGCAATTCTACAGATTGCCACAGTAACCCATGGAAATGCTCATTACGATCTAAATGTTTTTGGTACCTGGACGTTTATACTTCTAGCTTGTTACTCACTACCTATATCTGCTTTTCCCTCCCTTTTGGGTCAGCCTGTTTCCATTTCTACCTATTTCTGATAGATTTATTTAGGAAACAGCTGAGCCTTGTATAAACAATATGAATAGCATAAAATTCCATTTATAAGCCATGAACTGCAGATACAGTTTAACAGTATATTGGAGAAATTGGGAAGATTAAATATTTTTTAAAATTAACCTATCATTCTTCAGTGTGAAACTGACCTTCTTTCTCTTCTGTTTCAGTATCTTATTCTATCTCATACTCGTTTCAGAGAGTATTTCAGACTCTGAAATGAGTATTATTTCTTCAGGTCATCTTTGAGATTCTGACTTTCTACTTTGGTTTCCATACCTTTCATGTCTACACTCACAGACACATGTATATCCATTCAGTCATGTGTACATCTGCATGTAAGTACATGAACATAAGTGTTCTTCCCTTCACTTGTTGCTTCCTTTTACAACTTCTCAGTAGTTCATTTTTGCCCCGTGGACGGGTTGTGGCCCAAGTTTGCATTTTGAGTGCCAGCCTCTGCTTGTCTGAGCACTGATGAGGTGTTCAGGAGAGTTCCGTGGGAGCCAGAAAGATGGCGACCGTAGAGATTTCAATATTGCGGTACCTGCGGTCAAAGCTGTTGATTTCCTTTCTCTGATTGAGACAGGCGTCTTGAAGAAGAGCCTAGGATTATTCCTTTGCTCCCTGAATGGGCTCTCACTCTGCCTCTGCAGGGTTAATCCAACCTCAACCCAGTGGCTGAAAGAATCTGCTTAAAAATAATTCAGTGCCCAATGATGCAAAGGGCTGAAAATGCATAGTAAAGAGGAAAGTTGGCTTGTGCAGCATGAAAAAGAGTAATGTCCCAAGAAAAAGCAGTTTCCTTTGTCTTTATGGTATTAGTAGCACTGTACCCCGTAAGTTTTCCGATGGGTTTCGAAGAGATGGTATTTTAACACTATTTCTGTTGCAGCAGAGTATAAGACAAGGGCGCAGACGGACAAGCTCCAAAGTGAGATCGACATGTTGAAGGAGCAGCTGCAGCTCACCAAGTCTCAGCTCGAGGCTGCACAGCTCGCCCATGCAGTCAGGTTCTCTAAGGTATGATGCTGAATTCTGAAGCACTGGTGTGTTGGGAAGGACTGGGGTTCATTCCTTTCCAGTGTTCGGTAGAGTTCACCAGTGAAACCATCAGGTCCTGAGCCTTTGTTGGTAGTTTCTTTTGATTTCTGGTTCAATCTCTTTACTCCTTATTGGTCTGTTCAGATTTTCTGTTTCTTCATGATCCACTCTTGGCAGATTGTATAGTCTCTAGGAATCTTTGAGACTTTGGACCTCTATGTTTATACTTTAAGAGATGGAAGGACAAAAGGATGCTGTGTGCTGCCTTTGGTTTGGGAATATCATTGTGTACAGACCTGCCTTTATACGCAGTGTTTTTTGCAACAAAACAAACCAAAGAAAGGCCTGACTGAAATTTGCAAGTCTCACTGACCCATGTGAGGAGAAGCTGTGCCCATTTATTTAAAATTCTGCAGGCTTGCTTCATGTCAGAGCTTTTAAACCCATGTATTGAATCAATTTCAGGAATATGAAATGCAGAAAACAAAAGAGGAAGAATTTCTGAAGTTATTCGATAGATGGAAAGAAGAAGAAAAGGAGAAACTAGTTGATGAAATGGAAAAAGTCAAGGAAATGTTTATGAAGGAGTTTAAAGAACTGACTTCTAAGAACTCATCATTAGAATATGTGAGTATTAAACCTAGGAGTCCTCATAGCATTGACAGAGTTGTGGCTTTTAGAGGTGGCGTAACAGTGGCAATATGGCCCTCAGACCCACAGTTCCTTTATCGTGCCCTGGCCCAGACTCCCATCCTCCCTGAGAGTCTAGGGAGCTCGGGCATATGGAAGACAGAGCAAGTCCTTAGGAGCGGGAGCTCTGGCCCCAAACCCCAGTGCAGAACACTTGGCACATTTGGGTCTGATCAGGGAAGGGCCCTCTTGCTTAACTCTTTAGGTTTGGATAGCCTGAAACCATAACCCCTTCCCCAAGCTTTGGAGCTTTCCAAAGTTCCAAAGGAACTTTCTACAAAGACTGACGCAGATCCCCAGCGTGGCAGAAAGAAGCTGACCCAGAAAGACAGGCCTGTTTGGTCTGAGTGAGGTGGGTGAGCAGGATATGATTAAATGTAGCCCCTCCCGCTTTCCTGTGGGAGCGGCCTTGGTCACAGGGAAGCAAAGGAGACCAGGGAAGACTCTTGAGCTCCCTCTAGGGGCAACATGTTTTATAAACTGAAATAGAGGGGTAGTTTGGGAAAACTGCAAAGATCCTTCTTTAAAACGCCCTGAACCCTCTCATCAGTTCAGTTCAGTCGCTCAGTTGTGTCCGACTCTTTGCGACCCCATGAATCACAGCATGCCAGGCCTCCCTGTCCATCACCAACTCCCGGAGTTTACTCAAACTCATGTCCATCGAGTCAGTGATGCCATCCAGCCATCTCATCCTGTCGTCCCCTTCTCCTCCTGCCCCCATTCCCTCCCAGCATCAGGGTCTTTTCCAGTGAGTCAACTCTTCGCATGAGGTGGCCAAAGTCTTGGAGTTTCAGCCTCAGCGTCAGTCCTTCCAATGAACACCCAGGACTGATCTCCTTTAGGATGGACTGGTTGGATCTCCTTGCAGTCCAAGGGACTCTCAAGAACCCTCTCATAAGGATGGGCAAACTATGACTTGGGACCCAAATCTAGCAAACCACCTGATTTTGTATGCTCCTTGATCTAAGAAAGGTTTTCATACTTGAAAGTGGTTGAACAAAGTCAGAAGAAAAGATATTTCATGACATGAAAATGGCATAAATTGACCTTCTGGTGTGTCTGCAAGAGAGTATTTTGGAATACAGCTGTGTTGTTTCCTCTACACTTTCTCTATGGAGCTTTTGTGCTGCCGCCATGGAGTTGAGTCGCTGTGACCAGGACCTTACATGTCTCCAAACTCAAATACTATCTGGCTCTTTACAGAAAAAGTTTGCCAGCTGCTATCATATCTTTATAAAGCAAATGTGGCCCAGGGTTAGTTAGCAATTGGTGACAGTGAAATGGGTGTTCATTATATTGTCCTTTCAACTTTTCATAAGTTGTAATTTGCAGATAAAAAGTTGAGGGGAAGTTAATGTGGGGTGGCTCATTGTGTCTTTTCTGTAGGGCTTCCTTCAGGCAACTCCCTGTTGGTTCAGGCGTCCCCACATCACCGCCCTTGGGTCTGAGCATCAAAGCTCTTGGACAGTTGTTGTTCAGTTGCTCAGTCGTGTCCGACTTTGTGACACCATGGACTGCAGCATGCCAGGCTTCCGTGTCCTGCACCATCTCTTGGAGTTTGCTCAAACTTGGAGTCAGTGGTGCCCTCCAACCATCTCATCCTCTGTCGCCCCCTTCTGGCCTCCTCACTAAATCACCCGGTCAATCAACTGCACCCGATTCCTCTGTTTCTGACAACTGTTAGCTCCCCATCGCCCATCGCCTAAGATTAGGAAATTAGGTTTTCCTTTCCCTTTTTCACCCTGTGCATGTTCTTTTGTTGGAAGGAGTAAAACAGGAAAACCACTGTGAAGAGAAGCACAGTGAGTGTCTTGTAGGATAGTCAGATTTAATATGTGGCTACAGGCTCCCCAATTTTGTCCTCTGTTTCAGTCTTTATTTCTTAATTAAAAATTAAAAAAAATTTTTTTTGGCTGTGCTGGGTCTTCGTTGCTCTGCAGGCTTTTCTCTAGCTGGGGAGAGTTGTGGCTCCACTCTAGTTGTGAAGCTCAAGCTTCTCATTGCAGTGGTTTCTCGTTGCAGAGCATGGACTCTAAGACACGCCAGCTTCGGTAGCTGTGGCCTGTGGGCTTAGTGGTTGTGGCACATGGGCTTAGTTGCTCCACGGCATGTGGGATCTTCATGGATCAGGGATCGAACCCACGTCTCCTGCATTGGCAGGCGGATTCTTTACCACTGAGCCACAGGGAGGCCCTCTGTTTCAGCCTTATGAACATTTTTACCAGTGATTTTCACTTTTATTTTATAGCAATTGTCAGAAATCCAGAAGTCCAATATGCAGATCAAGTCTAACATAGGCACGCTAAAAGATGCACATGAGTTTAAAGAAGAACGTCCACAGCATCCCCAGGATTTCCAAAATGTGATGCAGCTACTTGACAATCAGGTATGTAGAAGTGGGTGACTACTGATTTTTCTTGGTGAAGTAATTTATAGGAGGCATCATCTAAGAAAAAGTGTCTCTTTCAGTGATGGTGACAGTAACTAATTCTTTTTTTCTAGTCTCCTATTGCATGTGTAATTCATAATAGATGTTCATTAGATACTTCAGTTCAGTTCAGTCACTCAGTCATGTCCGATTCTCTGCAACTCCATGGACTGCAGGATGCCAGGTTTCCCTGTCCGTCACCAACTCCCAGAGTTTACTCAGACTCATGTCCATTGAGTCAGTGTTGCCATCCAACCATCTCATCCTCTGTTGTCTCCTTCTCCTCCTGCCTTCAATCTTTCCCAGCATCAGGGTCTTTTCAAACAAGTCAGTTCTTCACCTCAGGTGGCCAGAGTATTGGAGTTTCAGCTTCAGCATCAGTCCTTCCAATGATTATTCAGGGCTGATTTGCTTTAGGGTGGACTAGTTGGATCTCCCTGCAGTCCAAGGGACTCTTCAAGAGTCTTTTCCAACACCACAGTTCAAAAGCACAGTTCTTTGGCACTCAGCTTTCTTTATTAGATACTTACTGATTGACTAATTAGATACTTACTGATTGACTAATAGATGTGGATACAGAACATTTGGCAAAGTTGTTTAATTTTTCCTCAAATGATATCTGTTTGAATTAGTTCATATTACCTTAGTAATTTTTCGTGTTTCAGATGTAGGCCCACTTTCAAAAGGCATAAAAAGGCATTTTGAAGCACAGACTATTTTTTCAGAGCTTATACAGTTGCACTGGTAAACTGATGATCTTTTACATGTATCAGGTAAATTACAGTCATCTGGAAGTGAACCTCAGTAATCAGTACGGGCTTCATCCTGCCTCTTTTGGTCACACTGATTTAGGAGAATTTTTTTTTAGCCAGAAAACATAGAGATTAAAGCTTATGAATTCATGATTTTTTTCAAAAAGCAGTATTACGTCATTTTAAAAAATGTGTTTTTCAAGGACCTATTGTATAACACATGGAACTGCTCAACGTTATGTGGCAGCCGGGATGGGAGGGGGTCTGGGGGAAAATGGATACATGTGTGTGAATGGTTGAGTCCCTTCAGCTGTTCCCCTGAAACTATCACATTGTTAAACGGTTCTGTGTGTGTGTGTACTAAGTCATTTTAGTTGTGTCTGACTCTGTGTGACCCCCTGGACTGTAGCCCGCCAGGCTCCTCTGTCCATGGGGATTCTCCAGGCAAGAATACTGGAGTGGATTTCCATTCCCTCCTCCAGGGGATCTTCCCGACCAAAGGCTCAAACCCGCATCCATTTTGTCTCCTGCATTGGTAGGCAGGTTCTTTACCACTAGTGCCAGCTGGGAAGCCCAATCAGCTATACCCCAAGACAAAATAAAAAATTAAGAAAAAATGTAAATGTGTTTGTGAATATGGACTACAGCCACAGCTTCTTGTCTTGCCTCTCTCCCCCAAATCTACCTTCTGCATTGCAGCCAGGCTGACCACATCACCACCCTGCCTAAAATCCTTTGGTGACTCCCCATTTTTCACAGAACAAACTCTAGAACCATTAACCAGCATTCAGAGTCCCTGGGCATCCAGTCCTGCTATCTCCCACTGTTCTTGGCTTTACCTCAAGACACCAGTAGCACCTAAAAGCTCCTGGTTCCAGCTTTCTTTGTCAAGTACCTCCTAGTTTTTCAGGCCCCATCACTTACTCAGCTGGAATGGCATCTCTTCTGGAAAATTCTCCTGGGCCTCTGGGTTAATGCATGCCACAGTCCTCCAAGCTGGACCTGATCACGTGCACATCATGTGGGAACCTTTCATTGTTATGTTCCCCTCCCTCCCACCCGCGCCCAACCCTGGGCAGGGCAGGGCTTGCCTCTTAGCTCTCCACCAGCCTGGTGGCTCTGGTGGTGAAGAACCCACCTGCCAATGCAGGAGACATAAGAGACGCTGGTTCAATCCCTGGGTTGGGAAGATCCCCTGCAGGAGGACATGGCTACCCATGCCAGTATTCTTGCCTGGAGAATCCCATGGACAGAGGAGCCTGGAGGGCTACAGTCCAGGGGGTCGCAGAGTTAGACATGACTGTTGTGACTTAGCATGCACGCACACAGCCTGCTGCAGCTGCCCAGTGAGGTGCAGGTACACGGTAGGGAATCAGGAATTGGATCCTGGTGGTTGCTCCCAGCAGGCTGCTGTCTCACTAACTGAGGGACTCAGTTATGAAACTCTCAGGTGTCCCCTGAATTTCTTTTGTCTGAGGCCTTCCTGTGAGCTCTGTCAGTTTATAACCCATAGACTCAGAAACTGTGACATTTCCTTTTGACTTCTTAGGTTGGCAGGCTAACACCTGTTTTTTAAATGAAGTTTTATTGAAACACAGAGCTTCCCTGGTGGCTCAGATGATAAAGAATCTGCCTGCAATGTGGGAGACCTGGGTTCTATACCTGGATAGGGAAGATCCCCTGGAGGAGGGCATGGCAACCCACTCCAGTATTCTTGCCTGGAGAATCCCCATGGACAGAGGAACCTGGCTGACTACAGTCCATGGAGTTGCAAAGAGTCGGACAAAGAGTTGGACTGGACTGAACACCTAAGCACTAAAATGCAGCCTTGCTACTACATATCATCTGTGGCTGTTCATTCATGTATTACTTATGGCTGTTCTCCCATTTCTAGTGGTAGTTACTGAGTCATCTAGCCCCCAGAGTCTAACATATTTTCTATTAGCCCCTTAATAGAAAATATTTGCTGACCCCTGCCTTAGCGTGAAAGATGAAAACCAAGTGCAAGTGTGATTAAACATTTCTGACTGTATTCGTCTTTAAAAATGGCTGCTAGGATATAAAATTAACACACAAAAATCTCTTGCATTCCTATACACTAACAATGAGAAAACAGAAAGAGAAATTAAGGAAACAATACCATTCACCATTGCAACAAAAAGAATAAAATACTTAGGAGTATATCTACCTAAAGAAACAAAAGACCTATACGTAGAAAACTATAAAACACTGATGAAAGAAATCAAAGAGGACACAAACAGATGGAGAAATATACCGTGTTCATGGATTGGAAGAATCAATATTGTCAAAATGGCTATACTACCCAAAGCAATCTACAGATTCAATGCAATCCCTATCAAACTACCAACGGTATTTTTCACAGAACTAGAACGAATAATTTCACAATTTGTATGGAAATACAAAAAACCTCGAATAGCCAAAGTAATCCTGAGAAAGAAGAATGGAACTGGAGGAATCAATCTGCCTGACTTCAGACTATACTACAAAGCCACAGTCATCAAGACAGTATGGTACTGGCACAAAGACAGAAATATAGATCAATGGAACAGAATAGAAAGCCCAGAGATAAATCCACGAACCTATGGTCACCTTATCTTTGACAAAGGAGGCAAGGATATACAATGGAAAAAAGACAACCTCTTTAACAAGTGGTGCTGGGAAAACTGGTCAACCACTTGTGAAAGAATGAAACTAGAACACTTTCTAACACCATACACAAAAATAAACTCAAGATGGATTAAAGATCTAAATGTAAGACCAGAAACTATAAAACTCCTAGAGGAGAACATAGGCAAAACACTCTCCGACATAAATCACAGCAGGATCCTCTATGACCCACATCCCAGAATTTTAGAAATAAAAGCAAAAATAAACAAATGGGACCTAATGAAACTTAAAAGCTTTTGCACAACAAAGGAAACTATAAGCAAGGTGAAAAGACAGCCCTCAGATTGGGAGAAAATAATAGCAAACGAAGCAACAGACAAAGGATTAATCTCAAAAATATACAAGCAACTCCTCCAGCTCAACTCCAGAAAAATAAATGACCCAATCAAAAAATGGGCCAAAGAACTGAACAGACATTTCTCCAAGGAAGACATACAGATGGCTAACAAACACATGAAAAGATGCTCAACATCACTCATTATCAGAGAAATGCAAATCAAAACCACAATGAGGTACCATTACACACCAGTCAGGATGGCTGCTATCCAAAAGTCTACAAGCAATAAATGCTGGAGAGGGTGTGGAGAAAAGGGAACCCTCTTACACTGTTGGTGGGAATGCAAATTAGTACAGCCACTATGGAAAACAGTGTGGAGATTTCTTAAAAAGCTGGAAATAGAACTGCCATATGACCCAGGAATCCCACTTCTGGGCATACACACCGAGGAAACCAGATCTGAAAGAGACACGTGCACCCCAATGTTCATTGCAGCACTGTTTATAATAGCCAGGACATGGAAGCAACCTAGATGCCCATCAGCAGACGAATGGATGAGGAAGCTGTGGTACATATACACCATGGAATATTACTCAGCCATTAAAAAGAATTCATTTGAATCAGTTCTAATGAGATGGATGAAACTGGAGCCCATTATACAGAGCGAAGTAAGCCAGAAAGATAAAGACCATTACAGTATACTAACACATATATATGGAATTTAGAAAGATGGTAACGATAACCCTATATGCAAAACAGAAAAAGAGACTCCGAGGTATAGAACAGACTTGTGGACTCTGGGAGAAGGCGAGGGTGGGATGTTTCAAGAGAACAGCATCGAAACACGTATATTATCTAGGGTGAAACAGATCACCAGCCCAGGTTGGGTGCATGAGACAAGTGCTCGGGCCTGGTGCACTGGGAAGACCCAGAGGGATCGGGTGGAGAGGGAGGTGGGAGGGGGGACTGGGATGGGGAATACATGTAAATCCATGGCTAATTCATTTCAATGTATGACAAAAACCACTGCAATGATGTAAAGTAATTAGCCTCCAACTAATAAAAATAAATGAAAAAAATAAAAAAATTAAAAAAAAATAAAAATGGCTGCTAAAATGTTACCCAAATAGTTGGGTTTCCTAGATATTCACTGAAAAATAAGCTCTCATTCTGAGTAGATGTCATTATTATGAGTGCATGCTAAGTGGCTTCGGTCATGTCTGACTCTTTGTGAGCCTATGGACGTAGCCCTCCAGACTCCTCTGTCCATGGAATTTTCCAGGCAGGAATACTGGAGTGGGTTGTCATGCCCTCCTCCAGGGGATCTTCCCCACCCCAGGATCAAACCCACGTCTCTTATTTCTCCTTCATTGGTAGGCAGGTTCTTTACCACTAGTGACACCTGGGAAGCCCGTCATTATTATAGTTGTACCTGAATTCCTCCTGTTTTACTGTTTTGCAGGAAAGCAAGTGGACAGCTCGTGTTCAGGCTCTTCATCAAGAACACAAGAAAGAAAAGAGCCGGGTAAGATTAAGAAATGAATGGCCTATAAAACGTGGGTTTTTCCGAAAAGAGTATTTGCTCTTCTTTATAATAAAGAGAATATTTGTCCACTGAAAACAATTTGTAGAGAAATGTATACCAAAATTTTAAATTATTTATAATTCCAACACCAAAGATAACCAGTGCTACTGCACCATTATAATTTCTTCAGTCTTTTTGATGCTGTAAATGTGCTTCTATAGGTATAGAAACCCATACATATAATTTGTCTCACAGTTTTAAAATTATGCTTTATATCTATAACTTTATACATTTTAATTTAATATATCATAAACATTTTCCTATGTTTTAAAATATTCTTCAAAATTGTAATTTTTTTTTAATGACTCCATGATGATCTTATGGATGTATCATCAGTTATTTAATCTCTTCTTCATTGCTGAATGCATATTTCTAATTTTTCTATATTACAGAGTGGCAATCTAAGCTTTGAATACAGGCCAACCTTGTTTTATGGCACTTTGCAGATAATTGTGTTTTTTATAAATTGAAGGTTTGTGGCAACCCTGCATTGTCAGATGATACATTTTTTAGCAATGAAGTATTTTTAATTAACATATGTACATTGTTTTTTAAGACATAATGTTATTGCACACTTAATAGGCCACAATGTAGTGTAACATAACTTTTACATGCAGTAAGATACTAAAAAATTCATGCGACTTATTTTATTGCAATTTGGCTCTGTTGCTATGATCTGGAACTTAATCCACAGTATCTCTAGGTCTGCCTATAAAAACGAGGATCATTCATATTAAAGTCACTTTTTAAGTCATTTTAATGAAAACAAAAATTAATTGTAACACCTGCTAGGTACATCAGAAATTTAAGTGCTAAAATGCTTTAATAATAGTGCAAAAATATAGATTTATTTGTGATTTTAAGATAGGAAAAACATCTGTTTATTTTTTCACTTCAAATTGTATGTGTTTTGTAGCCCTTTGTATCCCCTTTTAGGCGAACAGCATAGACTGGGTGGCTTATAAACAACAGAAACTTATTTCTCATGGTTCTGTTGCTCCAGCAATTGGACAGAGTTTGTTAAAGGGGAGTAGTGGCTGGGCTATGAGTAGATATAACGCCCAATTCATTTCTCCAACCTAAGTCACCCTTCTGAGCTCTAGACGAGATAACCGTCTTGGTACTCGGCATCTGCGCAACTTCTTAAATGTGATGTGTCTAATATGAGGTCCTTGGGTTTGTTCCCAGACATCTTTTTTTTTTGGTTGATGGCATCCTTGTCCACTCAGATGCAGACATTGATTCCCATCTCCTCTTCAACTCCCAGTTCCGTGTTCTTCTGGACATTTCTATGGCTTCCATTGCTTCTCCACTGAGCTCCCAGCATTTCTAAAAGGGCCCCCTATCCGGTCTCCCAGTTCCAGCCTTCCTCTCTTATAATCTACTCTCTGCAGAGCAGACAGAACAACCTTGCTGCTCAGCTTATCCTGATCCTCTCTCTCAACCTACTATTTTAGCTATGATGGCCTTCTAGTAATTTATAGAACACACAGCATGCAGCCTTTTTCTCCTTGTACATGTGGTTTTTTGCTTCTGGAAGGTCCTTCCCCTTGCTCCTTATGCAGTGGGCTCCTTCTCTGATTTAGTTTTCTCTGAAAGTGAAAGTGTTAGTCGCTCAGTCATGTCCACCTCTTTGTGATCCCATGGACTGTAGCCCACCAGGCTCCTCTGTCCATGGAATTCTCCAAGCAAGAGTACTGGAGTTGGTTGCCATTCCCCGCTTCTCCAGGAGATCTTCCGGACCCAGGGATCAAACCTGGGTCTCCCGCATTGCAGGCACATTCTTTACGGTCTGAGCCACCAGGAGGGAAGCCCTAGTTTTCTCTGCTGTGTTGCAAATGACCGCAGATTTAGTATGTCACAGTTTCCACGGGATAGGAGTCTAGCCACGGCTGAGCTGGGGCTTCTGCTCAGGGTTTCACCAGCTGCACTGGAGGTGTCAGCCGAGCTGTCTCCTCTGGGGCTCTGGGGCCTCTCTGAAGCCTGTTCAGATGTTTGGCAATGTGCAGTTCCGGAGTGAGGGTGGAGTGAGACTCAGTTCTGCAGTTCACAACCTGACTGTGACTTCTTCAAGGCCAATAGCAGAGCATCGCTTCTGCCTTCGTTCTCCTCCTTTAGACACCTGAAGTCACCTCAGACCAGTCCATCCAGGGAAGCGATCCTTTCCCTTCATTATTCTCATCACTTCACAAGTGGACCTCTGATCACTATTTTAAGTAGTTTATTTGTTTACTTGTTTATTGTCTGTCTCTCCAGCCAGATCACTAGCCTTTCGAGGGAAGGACTTTATCTGTTTATTCCTCCACTGTATTCCCAGAATCTAATAATGTGCCTAAAATGTGGTTGCTCTTGTTTAGTTGCCCAGTAGTGTTCGACTCTTTGAGGCCCCATGGACTGCAGCACACCAGGCTTCCTTGTCCATCACCATCTCCCTGAGTTTGCTCAAACTCATGTCCACTGAGTCAGTGATGCCATCCAACCATCTCATCCTCTGTCGTCCCCTTCTCCTCCTGCCCTCAATCTTTCCCAGCATCAGGGTCCTTTCCAACGAGTCGGCTCTTTGCATCAGGTGGCCAAAGTATTGGAGCTTCAGCTTCAGCATCAGTCCTTCCAATGAATACTCAGGGTTGATTTCCTTTAGGATTGACTGGTTTGATCTGGCAGTCCAAGGAACTCTGAAGAGTCTTCTCTAGCACCACAGTTTGAAGCATCAGTTCTTCGGTGCTTACTAAATATTTGCTAAATGAATGCAGAAGGTTGATAGGTGGCCAACAAGGGGATCACTCAGCCATTTTTTTTTTTTTTTTGTGGAGAGAGAGAGATGCTGATTGTAGGGGCAGAAGAGCAGGGTGGAAAGCGCTGTCTGTTAGTGTGAGCATGATATTTGAACCCAGGTCCTCTTAACCTCAGGTCCCTGCTTGTCTGCCCCACTGCCTTGCTTGCCTGTCATTCTGAGGCACTTAGCCAGCAGGGGAGGGGAACAACTAGTGGCAACTTGGAGCAGTTGTTTTTCTGTAAGAACCCTGAATCTTTCCTTTGAGATGCTCTAAGGCAGCAGTTCCTAACCAGGGACTGATTGCCCTTCAGGATGACCCAAGACTCTTCTCAAATGCACCTGCCCAACTCCACTCCCTGAGTGTCTGATTCGGCAGGTAAGTCTGGGACATGCAGAGTTTGCCAAAAAAAAAAAAAAAACCACACCAATAACAACAGCAGCAGACCCCCAGATCATTGTGTTTTGGATCCATGCTTTGAATCACGGCTCTTACGATTTGAAGTCCTACTTTTATTCTTCAAAGCATCTTTAGTGCACGGCGGTTTAGGGACAGAATTCAGGTTTCTTTTTTAATAGGAGGGGATTTTAGTTCTTGCTCCTTTAATTCCCTTGCATTTCAGGCAGCTGTGGGAATTTCAGTGGCTTTTTGGCTAGACTGCTGTGTAAGCTGTAGAGGTTTCCACTTGGCCACTGCAGCTGGTGACAGAGAGGCAGGGGAGGCCTGGTTCTGAGGGAGGTGCCTTGCCCCATGTGCTGGGAGCCTGGGGTTTTGGTGCGGCCACCAGGCTACGCTGCTTCCTTGTCTGTTGGCTTTGCTTGTTCCGAAGCTCCTTGCTTTTCCCTTCATTCCTCTTAAACCCCAGCAGAGGGGCAAATTCCCTCAGGTTTAGTAATCTGTGCCCGAGACCTGACTATCAATTATTCCACATGATTGGTGCCTACTGTTCCTACAATGCACATATTGTATTTCTCTGCTTACAGGAAGTTGCATTTGCCAACTTTTTATTGCTTTACCTAAATTCTTGGCAGTCTTTTTTTTTTTTTTTTGGTTTTGTTTTTAAATAACAGTGGTAGGAGTTCAAAGGGAACCACAGGTAAGTGGTGGCATGCCCTTTTCCACTGAACAGAAGACTCTTAGAGTTTGGGAGGTTGTGGAATGGTCACACAGTGAAAGGACAGCAGGATGGGGTGATGTGGCTGGTAGAGAAAAAAATGTAAAACTCTCAATGGTAGAAAGTCACAAGAAGTGAACTCTAGGACTTCCCTGGTGGTACAGTGGATAAGAATATGCCCGCCAATGCAGGGGACACAGGTTCGATCCCTGGTCCAGGACGACTTCACGTGCCACAGGGCAACTAAGTCCGTGCACATGCACTCTAGGGCTCGAGAGCCACAACTACTGAAGCCCCCGTGCCTAAAGCCCGTGGTCCACAACTGGAGAAAATACTGAAATAAGAAACCTGGGCACTGCAATGAAGCGTAGCCCCTGCTCGCCCCAATTAGAGAAAGCCCTTGTGCAGCAATGAAGACCCACTGCAACCCAAAATTAATGAATCAATGAATTAAAAAAAGAAAAGAAATGAGCTCCAGGGCCACCAGCTTTTTGAAATAACTTCTAGCTATTCCCTATGTCAGGCTAGCACATTCCTCTTTCAGCAGACTCTTTTCTGTACCTTCTTGGTCAGGTCTTAATTCCAATATTAAAAGGATGCCATCCCATCATTTTTCTTATGTCCTCCTTCTTTTTGGGTCCTGCAATGAGTCCCCATATTGTTGATCCTAAACCTCTCTCCAGACCCCTGGACATTTTTATTGGCTTCTCCTTCTACTTTCCTCCTCAGGATTTCCCAGACTATTTGGTGGGGTGGGGTGGGGGTGGGGGGCGGGGGCACTCTTACAGTGGTCTCTGAAAATGTGGGGAAGGTTCTTGACAGTGTTCTGTCATTGAGATTGTTAGCATCCATTGGGATATGTAAGGTTTCTTTTTTAGTCTTTATTCAGGAAACCTTTGTAACTTGGTTCAGCCTATTGTTTGTCCGGCCTCATATGAGCACACAGCCCTTCAGAGGGAAGACCCTGCTATGTATTGATGGAGAGCTTTAACTTTTTGTTGTTGTTTTTGTTATGTGTCTGTTAAATGTAAACTAGATTATTTTTAGAGTAGTTTTAGGTTCACAGAAACATTGAAGAAGAAATGCACAGAGTTCCCAAACACCCCACCCCTGACACCCCTGCCATGTACAGCCTCCTGCATTATCAACACCCTGTACCAGAGAGATACATTTGTTACAACTGATGAATCTATATTGATATGTCATTATCCCCCAAAGCCCACCATTTATTTTAGGGTTCACTCTTGTTCACTCTTGTGGATAGGGCTTCCCAGGTGGTGCATCAGTAAAGAATCTGTCTGCCAATGCAGGAGATGCAGGAGACACGGGTTCCATCCCTGGGTCAGGAAGATCCTTTGGAGGAGGAAATGGCAGCCCGATCCAGTATTCTTTCCTGGGAAATCCCAAGGACAGAGGAGCCTGGCGGGTTACAGTCCATAGGGTCACAAAGAGTCAAACAAGGCAGAGGAGCTGAACACGGGTGCACGATTTCTTAACACATCTCATGACACAGACACTAAGTTTGAGAGTGTGGACTTGGAAGACAGGAAAGCTGAGGTCTGGGCTCTTCCCTCCTCCAGCTGTCTGCATGTGGGTCAGCTACTTACCTCTCTAGACCTGAGTTTCCCTGTCTGAACAGAGGAGTCAAACATATATCCATGATGCTGTGGTGTAGATTCAACAAGATGTGCTTAATGCAACCTCTAAAACGTGTTGAGTGTTTGTTTGAAAAACAGACAGACAGACCTCTCCAGTTAGGAAATGCTGCTCCAGGATGTCTCCGTGCTCCTCTGAGCACAGTTACCCGCCTTTTCTGACCTGCACATCCCTGTCTCCATTCCCAGGCCACAGGCTTTAACGTCCTTCGTGCCATTTACCAAGGCTTTTTTCTCCTCCGTTTAAGCAACATCTGAAATTGCTTTAAGAATGTTTCCTTGAATTTTTGAAACTGAATTCTTCTTGTATTCTTTTTTAAAAAAATAGTTAATTAATTAATTAATTAGGCTGCACTGGGTCTTAGTTGCAGCATACAGGATCTTAGTTGTGGCCTGTGGGATCTAGTTACCTGACCAGGGATCAAACCCAGGTCCCCTGCATTGGGAGCACGAATCTTAGCTTTGACCACCAGGAAAGTTCCTTTTCTTGAATTCTTTTTTTTTTTTTCCCCATTTATTTCTTTTCTTGAATTCTTGTCCAGAACTGATATTCCCTCTAGAGATGAATCTGTGCATCTCTGGATCTATCTGTCCTGAGCTTCTTTTCCTTCTGTTCCCTCCCTCCATCCATCCTTTCCACCCTCTCTCCACCCTTCTCCCTCCTCTCTTCCTCTTTTCCTCAACTCCCAACCCCCTTCCATTTCTCAGTAAATATTTATTGAGAACCTGCTAAAGGACAGAGACTGCTAGTTGTACAAAATAATAAGTTGGGCTCTCTGGCTGGGGGAGTATGCTTTCCAGCTGGGATGATGTGTGTGGACTTGTAAGGACAGGACTGCCTGGGGTCGGAGTTGCTCTGCGGGTGGCCCAGTCCTTTATCCTTGCTCCTCCCTGTGTGAGTTCATGTAATGGGTCACGTTCACTCCACTGTTCACATGATCGGTGTTTGCTGTTTTGGACCATGAGCTCCCTGGGAACAGAGATGAAGCCCCTTGTAACAGCCAGGGCCTTGGGACACAGTGATCAGAGAGTTAGTCAATGTGTAGATGACGTAAGCCAGTGAGAAGGCGGGGTGTGTACATACAAACGGCAGAAAGAAGAAATTTACATGCTGGTTCCATATGGATGCCTTTCTTCCTTGCAGCTCCTGTCACATATAGAGAAACTTCGAACTTCCATGATAGATGATCTAAATGCAAGTAACGTCTTCTATAAAAAAAGGATAGAAGAGCTAGGGCAGAGGCTCCAGGAACAGAACGAGCTGATCATCACTCAGAGACAGCAGGTATTTTGGTGTATATACTATATTGGCACATTTTTCTGTAACCAGTGCAACTTATTTAAGAACATGTGTCTTTAGAGCATTTGTAAGTTGGATGAGATGAAGAGAGAATATCTTCCCACCCACCCCCCACCATGGTTTATCCAAGTCAATAAAATAGTTTTTTTAAAGGTATTTTTTAAATAGTGTAGTGCAATCAGATTTATTCAGTTAGAATTCAGGATAAATGTGAAGGCATCTAAGAATTTCTTTCGCTAATTCCTTTGAGAAGCAGGTGAATCCAAATGCTGCTTTTATAAAATAAAGTTTGTCTCCATGTCATTAAAGTCCACATGCCCTGTGTCTTTGGGGCAATTAGTGAAAAGGTTCATTTACTGAGCCGAGTATCTATTGATCATCCAGTACATCCCTGTCTAGTTTCAAACATGGATCGCTGAAAGACTGTTCTTCTTTGCAGATTAAAGAGTTCACCAGTAAACCATTAAACAGTGTCAGTGAACCCAAAGGTAAGTGGACCAGGATCCCAGTGCTGAAGGCAAGGTGGGCCACCCTGACCGTGCGCTGAACATTGGTGAATGTGGGGCTGAGACGGTTCACAGGTGCTAAGATGACATTTTGACTTGGGAGCTCTGTTACCACAACCCAGAGAGTTGAAGAATTTTAAATACCTAATCTGTCATCAAATGGTCTCCTGTCCTCTTTATCAGAATATTGTTATGCACATAATACACGCTCAGTAACTGTACCTCTGGATGGATGTGCAGTTAGATGACTTAGGATTAAAAGGGCAGAGTCCAGAGGCAGGCTGGCTTCAGCTCCCATCTCTGGCACTTTGTGGCTTTGTGAGCCTCTGCCCCAGTTTCCTCAGCTCAGAAGCTGGAATATCAGTAGTATTTACATCATAGACTTGTTATGAGGATTAAATAGAAAAACGGGTAAAGAGCACCTGTTAAATACTCATCAGTGTTGGCTATTGGTATTGATAGTAAACTCTTAATTATCCTAAAGTGCTATGGAGGCTTGATGCGCGATTCTACACTGTGGTTGGCTGGGATTGAGGGTTTGCTCTAAGCATAGTGGGAGGATATACAGCCTACTGAAAATAGCAATGATAGCCACCCATCTCCACAGCATTCAGGAACTGGTGAGAAGGGTGACTGGGAGTCAGAAGTACAGGTCTCCCATTATAGCATCAAGCTTGCCTTCTGCCTGATTGCCTTCTGAGTGGTCCCCGTCTTGGTTCCCATCTGTCTCAGATAGTAAGGCATCTTCATCTACTTGAGGGATGCCAACTGGCGATTGGCACTGGGTGTATGGATTGTGTTTCCTCTCTGTTTCTGGGGTCATGAGAAATGCAGGCATGTCTTGGAAATATTGCAGGTTCAGTTGCAGAACACTGCAGTACATCCAATAATCACAATACAATGAGTCACACAATTTTTTTTTGACTTTTCAGTGTATATGAGTTATGTTTATACTATACTGTAGTCTGTTAAGTGTACAATAGCATTATATCTAAAAAAATGCACATATACTATATTGCTAAAAATGCTGACCATTACCTAACAACACAGTGTTGCCACAGACCTTCAATTTGTAAAAGTGCAGTATCTTCAAAGTACAATAAAGTGCAGTAAAATGAGATTGGCCTATATGTTGACCTACACACTTGCTTTCCTTGTTTTAAGATAAAGTTTTGGAAAGGGTGGTAGTTCCTTGTAACTTCTCTTGGAATAGTTATAGTTCAGATAATTAGGAATATCTGCATAATTGGCATAAATATTTGAAAAATAATTTTAGGAAAAAGTTAACTTTGAAGGGATTTATGTTAAACATCTTTGTTGGGTAAGACACTACATGTCAGTACATTTCATGTATTGTTTTTTTAGGGGAAAATGTTAGGATGTGCACTGGCAAAATATAACCCGTACCTTGTGGTTTTTGTTGTTAATTTATCTTTTTTCATTTCAGGGAGTCTTTTAACCTGGCAAACTTTTGAATCTAAGCCAACTGCCCCAACTGTACCGAGTAAGTTTCTGAAATAGGCTCAGGGCTCTAAAGATAGTTTTAAAGTGTTTAAACCCATATATAACTTCTACTTATTATTTTGAGATGATTCTTGGAACATCAGTGTGTCTGGAGATTACATAATGATCTATTTTGATTCCTGGCCTTGACCTGGTTCTAAAACCCACTATTGTAAATGTCCGTGTGATTTTGTGATGGTTTTGGTTAGCCATACCTATTACCTTACAGTTTGCCTAATAAGGGAATGGCCAAAAATTCCTTGGCATCACCCCAGTGTGTGCTCTGGGTTTCCCAAGGCAAAGCACTGTGACGATGTGACTGTGTGTTGTGACCACCACATTTTGGCATCTCTGAGACCCAGTGCTGCAGGGTTTGACCCAAAGCCCCCATCAGTCACTCACGAAGTCACAGCACCGCTGTCTTCCAGAGCTGTCAGGATCTGGCTAGAATCCAAAAAGACATAATCTGTACAGTTGAGAAATGGATGCATTGTCTTCCTAATAATAAACAGTTGAAAAATTTTTGTTCCATTCAGGAAAGTGTGTGAACAGGATCTGAATGCTAAGGGAGGGCCTCCCTGATAGCTCAGCTGGTAAAGAATCCACCTGCAATGCAGGAGACCCTGGTTTGATTCCTGGGTCGGGAAGATCCACTGGAGAAGGGAAAGGCTACCCACTCCAGTATTCTGGTCTGGAGAATTCCATGGACTGTATACTCTATGGGGTCGCAAAGAGTCGGACACGACTGAGTGACTTTCGCTTTCACTGCTCTGAGGCTGGGCACGGAACGGCCATTCATGTGGGCCCAGGACTTGTAATGATGAGAGGACACTGATGAGTGTGTTTGGGAACTGGGCACAATTGACTGGAAGGGGCTGATGGTTTTAAATGCTCAACTGCTTCTTGAGGCCTGTTGATGTTGGTCCTGGAAGCTGAAGAGGTTGAGAGGTGCTGAGGAGGAGAGGGCAAGAGTAGAGCTAAGGGGAGAATAGAAGCATTCCAGAGAAGTATGGAAAAATTAAAAGACGTTCAATTATTATCGTTTATATTTTAATTATACTTAGCACAGTATTGGAACAGTCATGCTAAGTTGCTTTAGTCCTGTCCGACTCTTTGTGGCCGCATGGACTGTAGCCCGCCAGGCTCCTCCGTCCATGGGATTCTCCAGGCAAGAATACTGGAGTGGGTTGCCATGCCCTCCTCCAGGGGATCTTCCTGACCCAGGGATCGAACCCGTGCCTGTTAGTCTCCTGCATTAGCAGGTGGGTTCTTTACCACTAACACCACCTGGGAAGCCCATTGAAACAATAACATGTTCCAATAAAACTTTATTTACAAAAACAGGCAGGCAGGTGTTGGTATGTCTTATAGACTGTCGTTTGTCAAACCTAGATCTAGCTTAGCAAGTTGCAAGTGGGTTCGAAGGCCATATTTCCAGAATTGTTAGCAGTTTACTCATAGTTAGAAGTTGAACACTTTCACAGTAGCCATTGTAAAGCTGAAATTGTGTGCCTACAGGGGTAACTGGGGCTGTGACCAGTATTTCTCAGATAGGATTAGAACTAAAGATCTGTTTTTAATAAGCTGTGGAAAGAGTCAGTAAACTAATAGACAAATAGTTGAGAGAGGAACCTCAGATAGAAATTGTCAGATGTTAGAAGAGAGGCTGTGGAATCTAATTTTCTGAGATATTTTGATGTAAAGAATGTTCAGTCTTACTTGAATCAGGCATAGTCTTCTAAAGGCTGTACCTGAATTAATGCCTTTAAAAGGCGTCTTTCAGCCTAGTGATTGGGGTAGTCTTATAAATTGGTTTATTGTACATGAATATTCATAACAGCATTATTCTTAATAGCCAAAAAGTGGAAAAAGCCCTAACGGCCATCAACTAATGAATAGATAAATAAAATTTGGTCTGTCTACAAAATGGAAGGTTATTTGGCCATAAAAATACATGCTAATGCTGACACATGCTTCAGCGTGGATGAAACATGAAAACATGATGCTAAGTTAAAGTAAGCAGACTGTAGAGGGCCACATAACTAATTGTATGATTCCATTTATAAGTAAAGACCGGAATAGGCAAATCCACAGAGATAGAAAGTAGATCCTTGGTTGCCCGGGCCTGCAGGGAGGGAGAGATGGGGCTAATAGAGACAGGTATTTGGGGAGGTATACATGTAATGAGTATGTTCAAAAACTTGAGAGTGGTTATGGCTGTACACCTCTGTGACTGTATTAAAACCCACTGACTTGTAGATTTTAAAAGGCTGGATTTTATTTCAAATTGTTATAAATTTGGTTTAGGTTAGTTGGTGCTGTCTGTTATTTGAAACATTTGTTCCCTCATGATCTGTATATTAATGTACCTTGACTAATTTGATGAATACTCAGTGTATCCTCATGTTCAGATGCTGATGCTGTACATACAGGACCCTGTAATTACATTTTTATGTTTTTTCAGTGAATACTCCAGCCCCCCAGACACTGGATGCGAAGTCAAGTCTAACAATGGCACATGGTAAGTTTCAGCAAAGTCTCAACGTTTTATATACAGTTTCCATCTGAGTTAGATAACTTATTAACTGAAAAATGCTTCTGTGGGGGTTATTTATGCAAAAAAAAACATTTTGATGAATTCAAAACAGTTAATAAAACTGCAGTCTTCCTATGTAATGTTACTATGAACTAGTCAAACCTACCAGTCATAAAGTAGAAAATGTATCTATTGCTGGGCTCACAGGTAGAGATTTTTAACTCTGAATATTCCTTGGAGGATTTGTGATTTTTGGTGGAAAGTAGTAGGTATCGGGTAAGAGGGTGACTTTCTACTAGACCAGCCAACCAGCACATGCCACAGGGCATATGTGATTGTTTGTATAACTTTCAATGTGGCAGCTAGTCACCTTTTTTAAGCAAACAGTTTCAGGGATTGGTTGAGAAAATCTAGAAAAGACACGTGATGGAAACCAAAGGAAAAAGTAGGAACCCCTGGATGAAACTGCTGCCAGGATGCAGGTCTTGGACCAGGTCACAGGGTAATAATTGTTATTAACATAATCTAGTAGACAGGGTGAATATTTATAAACATATTTTTATACAACTAAGGTGCTAGCAGTTTTTATGGTGTTTTCAATATATTGTTTTCCTGTAATCTGCTGTATGTTAAGTGAATTAAAGTGGGAGGGGGACCATCTTTTCCTGTCTTACCTACAAATGTTTCTGGAATCTAATGATTATTTCATTCCACTTCTCTATTTAGCCTTTTACTTTGGACTTAAATCCATGGCCAGTCGAGTTGGGCATTTTGTCTTGAGAAATATTGTGGTTCATGTATGATGGCCTTTTATAATTATTCTTTTTACTCACTGACTGATTCATGAAGTGTTTTACTGCCCCTGATTTTTTTCCTAAGATTATCTCAGGGGGATTGGTTCCCTTGGGCGTGTTTATAATACGTAATGCATAAATTCTTCACATATTGGATGTTATTATTTTCAAGTGTTAGGACATGCAGGGTTTTTTTCCTTTGAACCAGTAACAGAGATAAACTGTATGTTTGACCTACATAAACTTTCTTTAATATTGAATATATGAGGAAGTTATTTCTAACAATTTTTGTCTATTCATATTATTGATGTCAGGTTAATATCTCTCTGTTGCCTCATTTTTTAGAGTTGATTTTTATAAGGCATTGCTGCCTACTTCTTTTTTGGATGTCAACATGTGTTTTAGTTTCTTTTGTTTCCCCTTGGTTATTGCTAGCCTCCTATCTGACATTATATGAGGGCCATGTTTTCGTTGTTTTATATTTTTGGTGCCCAATCAGGGACACATATGGTTGGCATGGAATGTTATTTGGGGCTAATTCCAGGGTCCCAACAAATCTGTCAGTTCTAGAGCATCGTGTTCCATGTGGAGTCTGCCTTGCCCAGGCTGGGGCTGCATGAATTAGCCAATCTCCCTTGCTGGCGTCTGCTGCGATTGAAATGCTCATTTTAAATGCTGGCCTGGCATGAGGCCCACAGCCCTTGGATTGGGATCAAAGCCGATTTGTGAGCATTTCAATGGTTAGGAGTGAGGAGCCGGCTTGGCGGGGGCCCACTACCTCTGCCCCCAGCCGTGGCAGCTTCCCCAGGTGCTGGCCGGAGGGAGGGCAGGGGGTTGGAGGGGACAGGGAGGGTTGGTCACAGATTGCACAACATTAATTAGCCCAGCTTCCTCTCTGTCTTTCCTTTTGTTCCATCTCAAACCTTGATGAGGTCCTTCACCATGAAAAATCTCATGATTACTCACCAGCTAAGGTTGGGTTCCCCGAGACACAGGCTCCGGGGTGGAGGTTTGCAGGTGAGATTTGGGCACTGCTCTCAGACATGAGAGAAGCAGGGTTGGGCGTTAAAGGGATGTTGATCCCAGATGCAGCTGCAGGAGAGGTCTCAGCAGATCTGACTGGGGGTTTTAGAGCTGGGAGGGGCATTTTGGAGTTGTCCAGAGTCGAGGTGAGCAGTTACAAGATATGGGTTGCCCTAGGCAGAGGGGTGCTGGCTGCTCCTTTCCTCTGAGACAGGCAAAAAGTAGCAGCAAAAGGTGGCAGGAGAGCACTGATGTGAATTATTGGTGCCGATGAATTAGTTGACAGAGTGGAGAATGTGCAGAAGAGATTGGAGGGATGCTGGTTGAGGTTGCTTATGGCAACCACTGAGTGATGGACTGAAGCTGTTTGGGTTGCTCTTGTGGCATTTCATAGCTGCTGAATGTTCAGAGGCTGAGCATGGCAGGATTGGAGAGCTGGGCTGCAGGAAGACGAAGAATCTGAGCTGGGAGATCAGTTGGCAGTTTTAGACACAGTCTGAGAGATTCCTAGTCTGTCCTTGAATGGTCTCCTCTTCTTTTTGTCAGGCTTCCCATGTGGTGCAGTGGTAGAGGATCTGCCTACCAAATTGGAGATGTGGGTTCAGTCCCTGGGTCGGGAAGATCCCCTGGAGAAGGAAATGGCAACCCACTCCAGTATTCTTGCCTGGAGAATCCCATGGACAGAGGAGCTTGGCGGGCTACTGTCCGTGGGGTTGCAAAGAGTTGGACACGACTGAGCAACTGAGCAACAAGAGATTCCTTACCTAGGGATTGGGGTTACGGTGATGAAATGGGAGGGAGTGAACATAACAGCTGTTCTGTGGGATTGGTGGAAAGGATGTGCGAGTGACTGGGGAGCAAGGGGGAGGGAGAGGCCAGAACGTGATGAGTTCAGGTACTGGCTGGACGATGTCTGCAAGACAAACCTGACGGGCACCAGTGGGAAGGCATTGGAGCTTCATGGCCAAGAGTTTGGAAGCAGATAGTCTGGATTCATGGTTGAATCGTGAGACCGTTGGGTTTCCTTGTTTGCCAGTGGGGAGAAGAGTCTTGGCTACTCCACTGGGCTGTGGTCAGGGTAGATGAGGCAAGGCCTTTGGAGCAGAAGTCAGTGAGCATGCATGGGCTAAACATTAGCTTCTGGGGGGGCGGGGGGCGGGCGGGCGATGAAATCCAACAAAGTCAGCCAGTGGAGAAAGGGCTGGGTGAAGAACTGGGAGTTTTTCTTCTGGAGGTAATGGTGGGAGACTGACATAAGGATTTATCTGGAAGCCTCTGAGCGTTTCAACTCTTACCCTGGAGGTCTCAGCTCAGGACAGGAACTGGAGGCTGGACCTGTGGCTTATAAAGCATGAGGATGGCAGGCCTTCCATCCCATATTTGGGATATCAGCCTGCTTTGGGTGCCCTGGGGTCTGGTCAGCCTCACTTCCTCAGCCTTTATTATTGTAGGGGTCCAGATTCAGGAATCTGTCCTTCCCCTGCCTTCTGTACCACTGCAGGAAATGTCAGATTTTGACCATTAATCCTGACTCAAGAGAGATAAATCACAGGATTATCCCTATGATATAATAAGTATGTATATTATGATATTGTAAGATTTTATAAAAGTTTTCCTCATAACTTTTATTTTTGTCTTTTTCAGAAATTACAATACAGTATAAACCATGTGACTTAAAAAAATGATATTAGCTATCCTCTTAGATCTCTGTTTTCAGCAGTTCAAATTAGGAAAATACTTGTGTAACCTTACTTTTTTTAATTTTTAAACTTTTTATTGAAGTACAGTTAACACATAACATTATATTATTTGCAGGTATACAATATAATGATTTGATATTTGTATATGTTGCAAAATAATCACCACGTTTAGTTAACATCTACCACCACCCATAGTTACACATTTTTTTCTTCATCCATATAACTTTAAAATCTCGATGCTGAATAATAAATTCAAAAGCACATTTGTGGTGTTCAGCACTTGTGTTACAGGGTTCGAATCACATGCTCCTTTGTGGTGGGGCCATGTTTATGTTTTAGAATTAAAGTGGAATCCTATTTATTGATAGACTGTGTGCTGAAAGTTCATTTGAAAGTAGTTTAAAATGCATTTCTCCCACATAGTCAGCATTAGAGATGTTGACTATATTGCTGAACTAGCTGTGAGAGCCTAGTTATAAACACTTAAATATATCTTTTTGTATGTAGCTATTATATATGTGTGTGTGTGTGTATGTTTATATATTTGTATATGCCTAAAATAGAGTACCAGAAATACCCTTTAATAAATTAGAAGGCCTTCAAAGTAGGAGGTAGTAAATCTGAGATAATACACGCAAAGCACTTAGGTCTCTGTGCCTGGAAGCTGGCCACTATTACCCTCCCCAGTCACCCACCCTGGGGTCTGGTGGTGGAATGAAATGGCTTCTGTTTGTGGGAGCCAATGAACAGCTCTCTGTTCAGGCAACCTGTATCAGCCTCCAGGTTGAAAATAAGTGAACCAGGCACCTCCTAAGCCAGACTTTTGGTTGCATTTCACTCTGTGCCTAATGCCTTACTGCTGTGGTTAGTTATACCTTCAGCCAAACCCTGACCTCCTATTGCCTCTGCTGATGGATGGGCTTTGCTTTATCCATGCTGCCCCGGGTTTTCTTGTGTGTGCATGGGGACATTTCCCCGGGAAGTCACCCAGAGACTACATCTGCCCCGCTCACTATTCTGGGGTAGGTTTGGGAAGAGCCTACCTTCATCTGTCATCTGTCCACAGCTTTACCCCGTTGAGTCTCTGGGAGCACATGAAACGTTGTTTAGGGACACAGAGGTGTATGAGAGTGGGTCTGAGTCCTCCTGCTGACCTCAGGAGACCTCTCCTTTTCCTTCTACTATTTTAGTCCTTCTACTTGAAGGCCCTGGGGCTAAAAAGAAGTGGGAACCCCAGGGCTCTGGGAATTTTTTATGTTTTTAGCTTTGGAAATTGAAATAGTTTCAGTAATTTTCTATTTAGCTACCTGATTAAGATATAAAGAAAAAATATATATATATGATATAAGGAAAAATATAAAATATAAGGAAATATATATAAGACATAAGAAACTATATATAAGATATAGAGAAATATATATATATATATGATATAAGGAAAATATATCTGTGTCAAAAATATTTTTAGGGATAAGTGAAGAACTTTTGTAGTTGTGTACTTGTGCCTTAAAGAAATCATGTCTGGCACTAAGTTGATGAGCAAGAAATTTTAACCTAATTATTTAAAAATATAATTTCCTGAGAGTGAAGTTAATAGAAAATACATAGAAAGGGCAGATACTGTGGGAAAGTAACCAGCTTTAACTGACTGCCTTGCCTTAATATTTTTTTCCCATTTCAGGCCTGCTATTTCAGGCCTGGTTAAAGTACTATGGAACGATGTCTTTCAAAATTGTTTGAAAGGAACTAACTTTACTTTGCTGTTGTCCTGTCTGTACTATTCTTATTTTTCCTCATTAATAGAACAGGCATTCTCATCGCACATACTGGAACCAATAGAAGAACTTTCAGAGGAAGAAAAAGGTAACAATGAGCTTGATCAGGGTTTATATCTGCATCAATCACATTTAGATGCTAAAACCCAAGCTTTGAAAGTACTTGAGTTTTATTGTAGTGTATCAAAGTTAGGAAGGCATTTAGGTTTGGATTACATTTCCAATCTGTTTGTAGTATTCTGGCATCCTGCTCCCATAATGTGCTGTTATATTTCTACCCTGCTTTACTGTCTTTTAGCATATGAGTAAGAAATTTTCTATGTCAGGGAACTTGAAAAAAAATTTAAGCCATTATGTCAATGCCAAGATTTTCTGATCAGATGACAAATTGACGCAGTTGTGTGCCAGATTATACAAAAATATTAAGACCACAGTAGTCATTTCTCATAACCTGAATCTACCAAATGAGTAAGTAAAGTGCCCATTTCAAAAATTGTTTTTAATAGCAAGGAAGGCATAATGTCTAGGCTCTGAATGTGGAATATTTACATGCAGAATATCTCAATGGCAGAACCTGAGAGCTGTTACAGGTTTGGGGAGTTAATTAAAATTATTACTTCTTCCTCACTTTATTTGGCAGTAATAATAAAAATTATTTCCTGTCAGCTAATTTTTAAAGTCTGTGAATGCTTACTTACATTATTAATAATATTTTATAATGATCCTAAAACAATTATATTTGGATCAGTTTATCACAATTTTCTCCTTAGTAATGCTTTACCATATTTTACTGCTTCAGGAGAAAGCAAATTGTTAATATTTATATGGGCTGTGGTTGTATAATTTTTGTTAGGAAAAAAAGTAAAATTATACATTATAATATGTAAATTCTTAATGTTTGTTATAACTTCTGTGTTCTCTAGATTTTTCCCAATTTTTTTTTTGTATAAGGATACAGATTGAGAAGGAACTAGATCAAGCATATCTGTAACATCTGCATGATCTGTTTTTTCATTTTCTTGCATGTAACATGCTTGCTCTTTCATAAGTATCATTTATTGATATCTAGAACACAAGATCCCTTATTCTTGGAAGAATTCCTATGAAATGTGTCAGGAGGTTCATAGATAGGGTCCAAAATTTTGAAACTAGTGTCTCCAATTACATAGTTCGTACTATTAGAAATGAGTCAGCTAGGTTCCAAGAGGAATCCTGGTTTGTCCATCATCACAGTTTCAGTGTCAAGTTTCACCCATTGCATATTCTGCCTGGACTTCTTTTAGGTTTCTTCTATTCAGACAATGTAAGGCTTGCATTGCTGATGGCAAATACCATCATTGGCTGTTGCCACAGTTAGGGAGCCGAGTTGGGAAACTCATCTTTGCCACCCACCATGTGTTCAGACACAGCTCTGGTGGAGATGGGTGAGCGCTGAGGACCACTGGGATCAACTGAGTCCCAGAGCACTGTTACAGAAACCAGTGACTCTGTGGAGCCAGCCGCTAGCAGCAAATTAATTGCCATCAATAAATTCCTCAGCTTGTACTAACATTTTCAGACAAATGCCTGTGCAGCTAAATTTTGGCAGTGATTTGCAAAAACACTACAGCTTTTTACCAAGAATTAACTCATCCTTTGAGGCAGACTTGATCTCACTTCTGTTGGATGTTAGAATGCGAGGGCCAGGAGGGATCTTAGGGGTTATTTTATTTTTCAGAAACTTGGAACACAAGGGGATTAGGAGCTTGCTCCAGGTCATTGAGTTTAATTAGTGACAGTGGCTGGGACTAACGTCCAGGTTTTCTGTTTTCCATGGTTTAATGCAAAGAACAAAGTGATGGAGGAAGGCAAACAGGTCCAGCCTTTGCAGAATGGTCTTTGGGGAATTCTCTACCTCTCTGGTTTTAGAGTCCTCCTGTGACTAATGAGGAAATTGAGTACTAGACCATCAAGCCCCTTCCAACTCAGAAATTCTGTTGTGTGTTGCTTTTTGTTTTGTTTAACTCCGTGCTTTATGCTACAATTATTTGCTTACCATGAATGGTGTGGTGTGTTAATAAGTCTGATATAACTGATTACATGTGTGGACTGTTATGCATTAGTCTGGGCATCTGCTTGGGCATGCTTTCCATTTTTTAATTAGAGGAAATGCTGATTTCTAGAATAGTTTGTCTTGATCTTGGTGAGACAATATGTGCTTTAACTAAAATCTTGAGTTCTGATCATCTTTCAAGTCATTCATTTCACCTTTAAAGAAAAACTTTATTATCTTTTCCTATCTATTCTACCTTCTTTCTCTTGCTTCTGTCTTGCCAGACCCAGGCTCATAAGACTTCTTCCTATAAAAGTTTTTCTAATTATTCACAAATGACTTTCCAAAATGAGCACCCACTTATGAAGGAATTTAAGGACAGAGGGAAATCTTCCATCATTTGGGAGAACTTAGGCATCAAAATGAACTTGTCATCAGGGCTGAAAGTTAACTTGGACCAGCCAGCAAATGAATTCAGTTACCTCTATCAAAGGCCTTGCAACTCTTCTAGACTGCGGCCAGTCTGTTCTGGGTATCACTTGACCCCTGCTTGTGGCCCCATGTCCCAGAGCCTCGCTTCAGACTGTGCTTCTGTGTTATTTCTTTTATATCTGAGATGCTGGCCAAAGAATTATCTTTGCCTAATTGAGACAGGAGGTGCATCTATTTCAATAGTAGCTCTATGACTTCCAGGCTCTCTTGGTACTTCTTTTTACTTTCAGCCCTAGACAGTTGCAGACTTGATGACCAACCAGCAGCCAAAGTCAGCGACAGCCGTGACTGCAGCTAAGCCCGCTAGGTTTTGATGGACTCAGTTCCTAGGGCAGAAGTTCTTTTTCTTTTGGTAGTTTCAGAATATTGGGGAAACAGCAGCATAAATGCTAAAAATATAAAATTTAAGATTATGTCTGACTTATATCCATATATACTCATATAAAATTTCATAATTTTGATTTAGCAAGCCACAGTAGCAAAGTGTAGAAAAGCATCATCGTGCAGGTTTTTCCCTCCTATTTAATGGACCAGTAATAATGTGGCTCATTTTGCCTGAAATTTGTTAATAATGAACAGAAATATTCTTTACTATTGGAATTGAGCTAGTGTTTAGAAAGCATCTTAACCAAAAGGCATGTTGTTAAGATGTTCTGCAAATCCACGTGCCATGGGAACCTAAAAATCCCATCTGCTGAGGCAGGTGAGACCTTGAAAGAGTGGAGTCTCTGTGGGGATCTGCCTGAAGCCCCAGACCTGGGCAGTGGCATTTGGTGCCACTTTCTTTGGGTGAAATGCTTTTGTTAGGAGAACAGGCTTCAAAGTGACGATAGTACCATCACCACCTTCTCCCAGATCTGCCCGTGGTGTTCACTAGGGGTCTGAACTGCCCAGCACTGAGACTGTTTCCTAAGCCTTCATTTTCCTTTGACATAAGTACTCAGTTGTTCAAGGTCATACAGTCCTGCCCCTTTCTCCAAACCTTCTTAAACTAGACAATTTTTTCTGGAAGTAAATAAAAGGAATAAGGAAGGACACATTAAGAGACTCTGGCCTGTTATTTTTTGTTTCTAACTTTAGGTTGTTGTAAACAAAATATACTTTTCCTAAGAGTTTTGTTAATTTCTTTTTCATTTTGGTAAGTATTTTGAGAGAGATGATAATCTTCACATTTTGAAATTTTATGTGAACTTAACATCCACTAAATATATAACATAAAACTTAATTATTTAAAAGAAATAAGGCTTTTTCTTCATTAGATGATACCTAATTCTGACTGGATTTAGGAGAAATGATTTCTTTAGGAAGTAGTAAAAATAATTTTAGGATAAAACATTAAATTTCTCAATAAGTTTTTTTTTTTTTCCCATTTTGCTTCTCTAGAGACTTATTGCTCACATTACTTATCTAGCTATACTTTGGTTGAGTAATCAAGAAAAAGCCTGAAGATCCTGAAGTTTTGAAGCAGGCTTAAGATAATTTTAAAAGCTATAATACTTAAGGATTATATATTGTGCTGAATGACTAAAATATTCAAAAACTTGAAAACAAATGCTTGCTGTTTAGAAGTTGTGTTTTGCCATTTTCTGCTTAGAGGTTTAATGCATTTGTTTAATTCCTTTTAACACATTATAAAAACCTTATTTTAGGAAGAGAAAATGAACAGAAATTCAATGACAACAAGATACATATAAGGAAAACTTTGAAGAATAACCCTTCCCTCACTAAAGAAATAAGAACTGTCTTGGAGCAGAGTTTGGTGGAGAAACTGGAAACCTTGGGGATTAATGCAGTAAGTTCACCCACTTTGGGAATATTTACTGGTTTCGTTTTGTTTTCTAAATAATAAATGATCAGAGAAGAGGAGGTGGCATGTCAGTTCTGTTACATTTGGAGACCAGAGCCTAATGCGACATGATTCATTAAACACATAGCTGGCATTCACTGTGTGCCTGACACCTTTCAGAGAGCTTTCCCAGTGTTAACTCATTTAAACATAGAGATTGATCTCTGAGATAAGTGGCAGTTAGTTCATCTGCATTTTGCAAAGGTGAAGTCATTGCTTCAGGTCACATGTTAGTGATGAAGGAGCCAGGATTTGTCCTAGGCAGTTGCAGAGCTGCCTACATTCTGATGTTAGCTCCAAACTATGTTTATTACAAAATCAGCAGCACTTATTAAATGAATGGGTGAATGAATTGTATTTCATGTTGTTGCCAGACTGAATAGTTGCATACATAAAATACACAAACTTAATTGAACAACCTGAATTTATATATTCCTGTTTCTGCATATAAGTATACATATTACATGTGCATGTGTGTATGTGTAATGCAAAAGTATGCATACATGTGTGGGTGGTTTATGCAGTTGTGCACATGGACATGTGTGCATTGTGTACATGCACTGCATGCATGTTTATGTGTGCAGATGCATGTGCTGTGTTTGTGTATGTTGATCTGTGTGTAGATATTGTGTGTTCATGTGTGTATAGGTGCATGGATCTGTATGCATACATGTGTATATGTGTATCTGCACATGTGCTAAAATTTGTGTGTATCTGAATGTATGTATGTATACAAAGATGTATACATACACATTTGCATGCCTGTATGTGGGGTGTGTGTGTATATGATCTGTAACTACCACCCAGGTCAAGAAATCCATCATTTCCAATATCCTAGAAGACTGTCTTTGGCTTTTCTAAGTTGCTGTTGCTTCATACTCCCCAACCAGAGGCAATGACTGTTCAGATTTAGTTTTGTTTGTTCTTAAACCTCATCTGAGTGGAACCCTACACCATGTAGTATCTGTGTCATTTGTTTTGCTTATGACTTTTTCTTTGAGATTCATTCGTGTTATTTCACTTCACAGTAGTTTGTACTATAATATTGTGTTGTATAAATACACTAGATTTTATCTGTTCTCCTGTCAAGGGCCATTTAGATTTCCAGTTTGGGGCATTTTGGCTTTCCATTCTTGTACTGTCTTTTGGTGGACATGGACATTCCTTTCTCTTGGATGTATATCTAGGATTGAAATTTCTAAGACTATACACGTTTAGTTTTAGTAGGTGTAGCCAAATAATTTTCCAAAGTGTAAACATTGACAATATCCCTGTGAGTGTATGAGAGCTCCTGTCGTAGCTGCATATGGTTTTGGGGTTATATGTTTTATTTGGGACATTTACTTTTATCCTATGAGTATTAAAACACCCTTTTTTTTTTTTAACCTAATGCATAGTTTTTTGTCTATCTGGGCTTTAACACTTAAGTTTGGAAACACTGAGTTGGAGATCTAAACTTATTTCCAGTTGGATCAGTTGGATCTTTTGTTGAATAACCCACTGTTTCTTAGTTTGTTTGAAATAGCAGTTTTATCATAAAGGACATCTTTACATACATTTGGATTTATTTTTGGACTTTCAGTGATTTTATCCTTTGAATTTTTTGGTATTTGTTTGCTAACACCATACTGGTTTAATCTTAGTAACTTTGTCCTGTATTTTAGTATCTGTTACAGGCCATGCCTTTTTATTAGTCTTATTTCAAAAATTTCTTGGCAGTTCTTTTGTATTTTGTTTTCCAGTGAACTTTAGAAACAGCTGCTGCAGTTCCAAAATAATCCCTGCTGGGATTCTGATTGGAATTGCTTTAAATGTTGTGTGTTATTTAGGAAGAAATGACATTTGTACAGAATTGTGTCTTTGCATCCAGCATCAGGGTATAGGAAGACAGGCGTTGAACACCTGCTCACACAAAACAGGTGATAGATCCATAATAATTATAGGATGTGAAATGAAGGAAAAGTAGAAGGGATTGAATAATTGAGGTCAGAGAAAACTGCTTGGAGGTGGCAGTCAATCTGATGATGGAGATTTCTGCCCTGGGCAGCTGGATGGGTGGTAGGGCCACTTCCTGAAATGAGGAAGACTCAGGGAAAGGTGAGGGAGGAGATGGGAGTGTGTGTGTGACACTGATATTGAATAAATGAATAAATTGCTCTTTAACTGGTTTTCTTCTTTAGATAACCTTTCAAATCCTGAAGAATTTTCTCAAATCACCTCTTAAATTATGGCATTTTCATCATTGAAAGCTTGATGATTTTTCTCTTACCTGTGGCATAACTAGCCTTGAAGTTTTTCATTTTGGTATCAGTCTCTTTTTTTGCTCTCCTCACCTGTTTTCTCTGTAGCATTAATCCCTGGACACCCTGACTGTCTCTGCCTCATTGCCTGCCTTCCCCACAAGATGCCCCCATCTCTGATCCCACCCTTCTTTTTACTTGTTTCATCCACCCATCTTTCAAGGCACAGCCCAGCCTTCCTCTTAAGCCTTCTTGGGCCACTGAGGCCTCTGATGGCTCGGATCTCTGAATTCCGCCAGCCCTTGTGGATTCATTCAGTCTTTTTTTTTTTTAAAAAAAGACATTTATTCAGCGTCATGATCAGACTATTACATTTAGCAATCAACAGCATGGGCGCAAAAAAAAAAAATCTACATTAAAACCCTTTGTTGGAATGCTTTACACTTTCCACAGAACAGAAACTAAAATAACCTGTTATACAATTAGTCACAAGTACAGTCTTTGAGTTTTTTGCCCATACACATGAGTATTGTCTAAAACATGTCTTCTTTGTAGCAGCGAGGCCCTGCCACCACTGTGCTTGGCTGAGTTCACAAATCTGTTGTAACCTGTAGCTTCCCTGTCACTTCTCCGGCTCTCCTCTCCTGCTCAGCTTTGTTTCCTGGCAGTAATTAAAACCTTCTGCCACTGCCATAGCTACTGCTGCTGCTGGGGCCACCACAGCCACCTTGGTTTCGTGGTTTGGCAAAGTATTGGCCTCCACCACCATAGGGGCCAGAACTTCTGCCTCCGAAGTTTCCTCCTTTCATGGGTCCAAAATTTGAAGATTGATTGTTGTAATTGCCAAAATCATTGTCACTTCCGCTGCCTCCAAAACTGCTTCCGTCATTACCAAATCCATTATATCCATCCCCACTGCCACCATGTCCGCCACCACCACGGCTGCCACCAAAGCCACCTCGACCACTGAAGTTTCCTCCACGACCAAAGTTGTCATTCCCACCAAAACCACCTCCACGACCGCCACCAAAGTTTCCAGAACCACTTCGACCTCTCTGGCTGGATGAAGCACTAGCCATCTCTTGCTTAGACAGGGCTTTTCTCACTTCACAGTTGTGGCCATTCACAGTGTGGTATTTCTGAATGGCAGTCTTGTCTACAGAGTCGTGGTCATCAAAGGTTACAAAAACGAAGCCTCTCTTTTTGCCACTGCCTCGGTCAGTCATGATTTCAATTACTTCAATTTTTCCATACTGTTCAAAATAATCTCTCAGGTGATGTTCTTCAGTGTCTTCTTTAGTGCCACCGACAAAAATCTTTTTCACAGTTAAGTGGGCACCAGGTCTTTGAGAATCTTCTCTTGACACGGCCCTCTTTGGTTCCACAACTCTTCCGTCCACCTTGTGTGGCCTTGCATTCATGGCCGCATCCACCTCCTCCACCGTGGCGTATGTGACAAACCCGAAGCCTCTGGAGCGCTTGGTGTTTGGATCCCTCATTACCACACAGTCTGTGAGCGTTCCCCATTGCTCAAAATGGCTCCTCAGACTCTCATCAGTTGTTTCAAAGCTCAATCCTCCGATGAAGAGCTTCCGCAGCTGTTCGGGCTCTTTGGGAGACTGATTTAGACATGACGGCAGTGGAGGCAGGGAAGTCTTCAACGATGCTTTCTCGGTGGCGTCCACAGGCAGAAAAGCTCATTCAGTCTTTATCACGCATCTGGCACTGTTGGTTAATCAGTCATAATCAGTCACTCACATGCCTTCCATGAATTCAGTCCTGATCACAAATGCATAGTATCCCTAACCAGCCACGTATAATCTTACACACTCCTATGTGTCCCGTTGCACCTTGAGCTCCTTTTGAGGCTGGTTCAGGGCATCCCCATCTTACATGCAGCAGTAAGGATGAAAGATTGACATGGTTAATGCAGACAAACATTCATGAAATGAAAAGCATCAAAGGATAATTTCTTAATGTTTTGTTCCTTCAGGATATACGTGGTATTTCAAGTGATCACTTGAATAGAGTGCTAAGAACTGTGGAATCAACAAGACACGAGCGAGAAAGACAAATACCTAACATTCAGCAAATTCGAGAATTCCTTAAACATCAGGTCAGCTGTAAAATTGAAGAGAGAACACTGCTGTCCACAGGTAAGCCTGTGACCCACTGCCATTTCATGTCTGCAGAAATATTAATAGACCAACCATTTCATGATTTTATATGGTTCACAAACCTTGCCACTTAATCGGCAATTCTGTTACTGTTTGAACCATTAAATGTTGCATTTTAGATTTTTTTTTTTACAATTTTGTGTGTGTGTGTGTTTTTACAATTAAAAACCTCCTGTAGTGTGGACTCTAGACCCTTGAGATGGGCTTGTTTGTTTCTGTGCCAATGTAGACAATATTGTAGCATTTTCTTCTGCTTTTCATGCAGTGGAGACTCACAAATGACACTACTATTCCAGACAGGTACGGTGCTTCTCAAATGGACACCCTTTCAACTGGAGAACTACCTAAAGCAATACACCTTCCTCCCAAAAGCAGACAGCTGATTAGACAAAGACCTGTTTTTTCTGATAGAACATCTGTTCCAAAGTGAGTATTTTCAACTCTAATTTTTTTAAAAAATATTTGTCTCAGCTTGGGCTTCTATAACAGAATACCATTGACTGGGTGGCTTAAACAACAGAAATATATTTTCTAACACTTCTGGACGGTGAAAGTCTGAGATCAGGGTCCCAGCCAGCATAGTCATAGGTTCTGGGAGGCTTCTGTCCCAGGACTCACAGATGGCCAGCTTCTTACTGTGTCCTCGTTTGCCAAGGAGAACAAGAGAGGCTTGGTCTCTCTTCCTTTACTTACGGGGGCACTAATTCCTTTCAGTGTGGGCCCCATCCTCATGACCTCATCTAAACCAAATCACCCCATCTTCAGATACCATCACACTGAGGGCTAGGGCTTCAACACAGGAATATTAGGAGGCCACAAGCATTCAGCCCACAGCAATGTGTGACCCAACAGAGAATCACACTTGGAATGCCTACCCTTCTCTCAGTTTGGGGAGACTTGTAACTGCTCACCCTCTAATAAGGCAAAAAGCACCAATTCCATAGAACTCTGTTTTAAATTACATGATTTGCTCATGCTGGAAATATTTTTCTCTTGCTTTTAGAGTTAAGAAAAATGCCACAGAAGATCATTTTCCCAGGAGGTCTTCCACTATTGCGTGAGTACTGAGGGGGCAGGGAAAGGTGGTTTTTAAAAGTTCTTTTCACTGAACATTCCTTTCACTATAAATTAGTATGTTCATTGTGGTTCACTAGAACCATAATTATTACATATCATATTTAATCTGTGATTCCTTTGTTACACCTTCCTTTCTTTATCCCAAGTCAGTAGCTCTTGTGGCCTCCATTAACAAGTGGGACCACACCTGAGTCATGTTTGTTATTCCCCACCCCCACCCCTGCCTAGTTTAGTAATTTTCGATAAGAATGATAAATTATAAATTTACATACATTATAAATTTTCAATAAGCATGATAAATTAAATGCGTGATGTTGCTTTTTAGTGGCTGGACCCATGATGGTGTATCTGGGTAGAATTTTAGTGTTCCAGCTTCTTGTGGAAGTAGTTAACAGCCTTAGACCTTACACTCTTAGGCTCGTTTAGGATACTGAGAACCGTATCTCAGTCATTCCTTAACTGTGTGACACTGATTCAGTTGATTACCTGTTTTAAGCCTCAGTTTTTCTATCTGTAATATGGGATGGTGCTTCCTCTTTCACAGAATAGTTCTACAAATCAAAATGAGAACATACGAAAATGACTTGGCCTCAGTGCTTGGTACTTGTGGGTACTCAATAAGCTGTAGGTATATCATTGTTATTAATTATGAGTAAAACTAATTTTATGATAATTGAATTTCATAGTAGAGAGAATAAATATAATAAAGACACTATAAATGCTAACTCACCCTTCAGAAGCACTTATCATGTAATAATCTCATGGGAAGAGCTTTATTTCATGGGATGTGGTTTAACTGAACATTGTGTGGAATTTAGGTGCTCAGTGAATATTTTTTAAATAAATAGATACTGCTCTGAATTTGTTTCACTCTAAAATGGGGTGATGATCCATGGCTAATTCATTTCAATGTATGACAAAAACCACTGCAATGTTGTAAAGTAATTAGCCTCCAACTAATAAAAAATAAATGGAAAAAAAAAAAGAAAAATAAATAAATAAATAAAATGGGGTGATGATTTACATGATACTACAAATGAGTATGTGTAGTCATATAAAAGTACTTGGTAGGGTACAGTATAAAGGTCAGCTATAAGTAATGCATGCCTGCGTGTGTCCTCAGTCGTGTGGACTCTTTGCAAATGTCACTATTTTAAAAGACAGCATAGTTTTATCCCAGAAATATTTTTTTCCACTATAAAATATTTTTCTTAGGTGTATAAAAACTGATATTAAAAAAATACAAAATTTGAGTTTAGAGGAGTAATGTCCTAACTTCAGTCCACTTTGGTAAATAGGCCCTGTGGCATGTGGTTGGCAGATGTAAATTTGAAATGACCATTCCGCCTTTTGCATAGTAAGTCCTCAGCCTGGCCGCCATCTTGTTCTGTGGCCACGCACGCATTTGTTCGGCTCTCTTGAGAAAGTTCCGACCTCTTTAAGGGGCATATTGTCTGTAAATCCTGAAACACGGAAACAGCGCCCCCTGTTTGGACTTTGGTTTGTTTAGGACTCCTCCCTTCAGTTCCGAGGAGGAGCTGGATGCTGACGACCTCATCCAGGCGTTCGCCTCCCCAGACGTACTTCCTGTGCTGGCTTCTAAAAGCAACAAGAGTAGTTTCGTAAAGAGCACCGTCAAAAGCGACACTGACTGGACGGAGGGAAGTGAAATTGAGGACTCTGATATTTCCCCCAAGCCCACAGGTAAGCTTTCCTTTACTGAAAATCCACCTGGAAATTTTGATTTTAGGACAGTGGTTCTCAACCACAGTGCTTCTGTGGACGACAGTGGTTCTCAACTCTCCATACTGGGCATCTGAGCTGAGAAAGTTCTCGAGGAAACAGTGTGAAAGTAAAATGAAAGTGCTAGTCCAAAAAAAAAAAAAAAAAAAGAAAGTGCTAGTCCCTCAGTCTTGTCTGACTCTTTGCAACCCCATGGACTGTAGGCTGCCAGGCTCCTCTGTCCTTGAAATTCTCCAGGCAAGAATACTGGAGTAAATAGTAATTCACTTCTCAAGGGGATCTTCCCAACCCAGGGATCCAACTCGGGTCTCCTGCATTGCAGGCCGATTCTTTACAATCTGAGCCACCAGGAAAGAAAGTATGGGGTTAATCTAAAAATTGTTGATTCCTGAGGAAAAATGGAAGGGGCTTAGCAAGTAGTTGATGTTCAGGTGGAAGGAGAGGAAGGGGTTGGGGATGTCTGGATGTATTAGTAACAAACACAAGGGCTGCTATAATGAAGAACACACTCTGTGTGGCTTAAACCACACAGACAGAATCTGTCTCACCGGAGCTGGAAGACCACAATCAAGGTGGCAAGGTTGGTTTCTTCTGAGAGCTATGAGGAGAGGTCCTGCTCTGTGCCTCTGTCCTTGGCTTGTAGATGGCTGTCTCCTCCTTATGTCTCGTCACATTGACTTTCTCTGTGGGTGCCTCTGTGTTCAAATTTCCCGCTCTTGTCCAAGGACACCAGTTGTGTTAGATTAGGGTCCTCCTTAATGGCCTCACCTTAACCTAATTACTTCTTTAAAGGTCCTGTCTCCAAATAAGGTCACCTTCTGAAGTAATGGGGGTAAGGACTTCAACATACACATTTGGGACACAGTTCAACCCCTTAATACTGTGTGTCCTTGAGAATAACTGTTCTAACACACCATGCTGCCTTTTGGAAACAGGGCAGTTCTCAAGGAATGTGAGGTCCAAGTTGGTGATTGCTGATAATTTGCTAATGAGAAAAGGCAAAAGGGTCATTAAAAAAAAAATGTTTAATGCAACTTAAAAATTCTATATTTTAAACATATCAGATGTAATTAGTTTATTGTATATATTTTGTATATACCATGTGTTTTTATAATTGTGTAAAATATAACTTTTTAAATAATTGTTTTTGAAAATACCATATGAATATCCATTCACACAGGCTGCCTCACTGAAATTAAAGTTTCTGATCATGAGTCTGAATGACATCCTTCTTTGATTTAAAATAAAGATTTTATTCTTCTAGTCTAGAGGATCATGATTTTTTAAAAGGCATTATTTGCGATGCTTGGACTCTTCTGGAGAAGGAAATGGCAACCCACTCCAGTATTCTTGCCTGGAAAATCCCATGGATGGAGGAGCCTGGCAGGCTACAGTCTGTGGGGTCACACAGAGTCAGACATAACTGAGCAACTAACACACAGACTCTCTCACATTGTAAGATTATTTTGGAACTGAAGGTTTAATTTTTAAACTTTACCTGTTTTCTATGGGTCCCATAGGAACCTCCATTAAAACATTAACTGGAAAAGTTGAAAAGACGGTTTCAAATCATAGAAATATGAATAAGCCACTTGGTGGAATTAATGTTGCTGACACGTTCATCAAAAAAGAACTAAAAGAAGATCTAAAGGTGAAATCACTTTTACTTGTTAAACATACACAAATTCATCTTTTAATGAATATATCATAATAATTGTATTTTGTAGTGAAATGTAAAACAAATACAATTATTTAGTATAGTAGAGGTTGAGATTTTTACTTTATTTTGTTTTCAGTATTGTATTTCCATAGGGAATCAAAGATACTGAAAGGATAACTGGTAATAATACATCCTATGCTTATCAGGTTTTACAGGTTTTCAGAATCCTGTCACGTGTATTATTTGACACTGGCAGATATTAGGTAGTTTGCTCACAGAAACTTGTGACTGAATAGAATCTGGGCTTTCAGATCTGAGTCCAGGAACCTTTTTGCTACCAAGACATGACCTGGAAGTGAAATAGGGACTTTTCAGAGTTGACCCCCACTTGGCAGCTGGAGTCCATAAGACATGCTCTAGAGAGACTGTGACTCGAGCGGAGAACAATGCTGAGCTCCCCGTCCTGAGACTTTGGACACACTCTAAATTCTGGCACCAAGCCTCGGAAGTGCTCCTGTGGATGGACACCTGGGTGGGCTTCTCTGTGTTGACTGGGTCTTCCAGTCGTAGTTGCTCTTTAATTTTTCACTTACATTAGATTTAATTCTTCCCCTGCTCATCTGTGGAATCCAGAGCATTCTGTCCAACTACTTTCATAAGTTAGTGCCATTTGTGTTACACAAGTCCAAGATGACAAAAAGTCACATCAGTTGAGCCACCGTGTCTTCTTTAGAAGGTGCACTGGAGAAATACACAGTCTTTCCCATCAGGGCCGGTGGCTTTTGCAGGGCCCTCATGTGATGTCTCCTGCAGTTAAATGTCTTAGTATCACAGAGGTAAGAGCCCCATAGCCAGTCTGACTGCTCCTTGGGGAGCATCCTGACTTGACTTTACAATGTAGTTTCTGGAATTTTCTAAACTTTCAGTTGCTGCATAGGAAACATACATTTCCACAGCAACAAACAAAAAGAGGTGGTTCCCTCTGCTTTCAAAGCACAGATTTCCAAACCCATTTCATCACCCTTGGAGATGACCAGATGAGAGACCCTCTGAGGCTCCCAACATCTTACCATTTAGCATCAGTGGCTCAGTCTGTTTGAGGGGCTCTAACACACACGGTTTCTTTAGGGAACATTCATTATTCTCCACGTGTTGTTTTGTTTTGTTTTTTTTTAGTGTACAGATGTGGATGATGATGACTGGGACATATCATCCTTAGAGGAAGACAGATCTATAGGGAGAAAAGCTGAGAGAGAACAGAAGGAACCTCCTCCACCTGTGAAGAATGAGTCAAATTCTACTCAAGTGCCAAATGCCTGGGGTGCAGCTAACCCGAAAGGACCAAAGGGAGAAGGTTCGTGGCTTTGGTGTCTACCGGAAGCCTTTATAAACACCAAATTACCCTAATGAGCTTCCCTGGTAGCTCAGTGGAAAAGAATCTACCTGCCAAGCAGGAGACATGGGTTTGATCCCTGTGTCAGAAAGATCCCCTGGAGAAGGAAATAGCAGCCCACTCCAGTATTTTTGCCTGGGAAATCTCATGGACAGAGGAGCCTGGAAGGTTACAGTCCGTGGGGTCACAAAAAAATTGGACACGACTGAGTGACTTAAAAAACATTATTTTAATAAGGACTGAATGTGAACAACTTACTGATTAGTATCTATTTACTAGTTTTCTAAATTTTAATTTGTTTCTAATCTTTTGTCTTTAAAATTTTTAAATATCTATTTTTGAAAGTGCCCCTACAAATACTCTTCACGTAGATGCCTCCTAGAAATTTACATTTCTGATACATACCTAAATGAGGCCACTTTTTTCCTGACTGTCTTCCTGTATTCATCTGTGTGCTAAATATTGTTATTTTCTTCCAAGGAAGATTCTTCTTGGAGCATTGTAGCCAGTGGAATGAAGGACCAGTGAAACTGTTTACTGCCATTGATCCTATCCACCCAGGCTAGAATCTGGATAATAAGTCCAGTCACTTAACCTCTCAACACATTTAATTTTTAAAATCAGAAAATATAATTTGTATTTTTTAAATCAGAGAAATTCTTTTCCACATCCCCCCAACCATCCCCCCCCCCCCCGCCCCCTCATATACACACAGTGCATCCTCCCAGCCATTCTACATCCCTGCAAGTAACAGGCTCAGACTTTTCTAGACTGATCAATTTGACGTGAATTTTCTAGATGCTGATAAGACAGATGAAGATTTGGCTCCTTCTCCACTGCCTGCAACTCTCATGCCCCCTCTTCGGTACTTTCGTTCCCCCCCATCTATAATTTTAAATGAATACATGAACATCTTTTGGTCTGCTTATAGCAGGATCTTGTACCCCACCCCAACCCCCCACATTTCTATGAACCATTGCTGCCTCTGTCTTCACTTGATCTCTTCGCTCCACCAGTGTGCCAGTTGTTAACACTGACCTTCTGTTCTGTCACCATCATAAGTTTTCTGTGCTATGTCTCAGCATCCATCCTCATCATTGAAAAAACAAAAGACGTGTTTACGCTACAGTGACTGTGGAAGGACATGGGACACTCGGGACACTCAGAGTGCCCTGAGTACATTTCCTCATCCCGGTGCCATGACCCCACGCCCCTCAAAGAAAATATCCCTAGTCACTCTCAAGTGGAATTCTCTGTACTCTGTTTCAGTGGCTCAAGGCACTTTTGATCTAACTTCACCTTTAAGCTTATCTATGCTAAAGAACCTATTTTTAGCATTTAGTCCCTCCTTGGCTTGTTAATTTTTTTCTCCTCTCTTCATGGCTGCCCGCCTCCAGGTGCTGTGCTGAATGCCAGGAGGTGGGGGCCGGGTGGAAGCTTTGCTGCGAGGGCCCTGTGAGGCTGACCTAGAGACGTGGCCGTCCTGTGGTGGTGGGACGTTCCGCAGCATCTTGCCCCAGCTTGTGGGAGCTGGGGGTGGGGTTGGCAAGCCAACTCAGGCCCGAGTGACGAATTACAGTGTGAAGTTATGGAGCGTTTACTGGCTGGACAGTGTGCTCCTTTAATCACTGGGGCCTCCTCTCCCTCCCTCCCTGTCTCCCACACAGGACCTCAGGATGAGTCCAGTACATTGAAAAGCAGCTTAGTAACTGTGACTGACTGGAGTGACTCTTCAGATGTGTAACTGTCACCCTGTGCGTCAGGAGGTCCGTCCAGACTTCAGCAGTATTTGATATCGTGGTATTTCAGCACTGCCTACACAACTGTAATTGTCCTGCCTCACAGTATCTCCTGTAATAACAAGGAAACTGGTTCTCAGAGAACAAGAGTCTCTTTAATGCCACCTAATGCAGTGTTAAAAAAAAAACACACACAAATTGTCAACAGTATTTTGAAGCATATAAAAGTGTTTAAGAATGCTGCTGCTGCTTAAAAATAATGTGTCACTGAAGTCATAAAAAGTTTTTTCTTCAGAACAGTACTCTAGTGTTTAGGTGTATTTTTTTCAACTAATTTTTAAGTGAATTTTTTTTTTAACTGATTGCAGGTTTTAGTTTGCATTTAAACTTAAAAAAAAAAATCTTTCTTATGTACATTGTCATGTTGGAAGTGTTTTATTATAGAAGTTCTGTTAGTATCCTCAAAATGGAATTGGTGGAAATCAGTGAAAATTTAAGAGTAGACAGCTTATTTTTCATCTAGAAGTAAGTTTCGAGTTAATAAAAATATAGCTAGGCCCATATTAACTACATTTTCCAGAAGTACTTTTCCCATATGCAGCTTTGGGCCACTGTAAGCATGTTTTAGAACTTAAAATACTATTTCTGTAGCATAACCTTGACCTTGGATATTTTATGAATAAAATGTAGCCATTTTAAATATCAGTTAATTTATCAGACTATGAATAGAATAGAGTCCATACTGAATTCATATGTGTCTGTAGTTTCTTTTTACTTTTTTAAAATGCCCTTTCCACATTAGAAAATACCTCAAAACTAATTTATATTCTTAACAGTGACATTATCAATAGTCAACATGTTCATATAAACTAAACTGTTTTTTGCATTTTTTTATACCTTGTGGTACTGTTGTTTCCCCAAAAAAAGTAATATTTTAACTAAATGGTCTGTTAGGATTTGGACCTCTTTGTTTTGTCAGCCTTTCAAGTAAAACCCTCAGTGACACTGTTGTGACTGTGGCTGAGTTATTAGAGCTGATTTCAAGTTAAACTCATTTCATTCAAGGATTTAAGCTTGTCTTGGTAGCTATGCCATGTAACATGCTGATCTAAAAGGTTACCTTTTCTTTTATCTGTTTCTGCCCCACCAGGGTCCTTTTTACTTGTGGGCCACTTAGCTTTTTAAAAACTTCCCACGAAGGCCATTTAATGCAAATATACTTGCTTTAAATATGTTTCTAAAAGCTCTAATAAACCCTGAATCAAATCTTCACTGTAGTAAGACACAGATAAGCAACCTACAACGATGCCTAAGAAGGCACCTGGGCTCCTATGTTCACTCACTCATCCACTTAGATCTGTTGAGTTCCTTGTTCTGTTTTAATGTACGTTATTAGTTCATTTGATGAGAACAACTTTGAAACATATTATTTTAATCTTCTTAAAGATGTGAGAAACTAAGCTATACAATAACTTGCCAAAAGCCATATGACTACAAAATGACAAAAGCAGGCTTTTAAATCGGGCCTCAACTCCCAAGTCCTGGGTCTGCCAGGTCTTTATCCCTAAACAGCAAGGATTGGGGAAATAAGATGAACGTCTGCTAAGTAACCCAAATCTTTGTGTCTGTGTCGCAAAAGCTGATATTCTGTTTAGTCCTGTCATGTTAGGTTGTACTAGAATTGGTTTGCTCATTTTCCTTTGGACCATCACCTTATATTTCCTGTCATGGACACATGGCTAATGTTTCTGGCTCCTGACAGTTTTTCTGTACTTTGACCCCTTCTCGCCCTAAATTCTTCAGAAGCTATGATAGTTCAATACAGTCAAATATCTTCTTCACCAGTACAGCTCTAAAATTTAAAAATTTGTTTTAAACACACATTCACCAAACCCTGTGCCCACATTGGCTTATAGCACCTAGCCTCCCTCAGTGGTTTTCAGTTCATTTGTATCTCCGGAAGAAGTATTTAAGTATTATCATGGTCTGGAAAAAAAAGTTTACTGTATCAGTAATAAACTCATCCACATTTTCTTTTCAGTGAGCACCTCCAAACAATGTGATTTTTCCTTTTTAAGTCCTTCAGGCTTGAGGAAGATGTCACGGTCACCCATGCTGTGACTGGTATTGTCGGGTACCTGAGTCACAGATGACACGGCTAAGCGATTTGTAGCCACAGCTTGAGACTGTATACTTCACCCTAGACTGCCTCAGTTCAAAGTCCTTGAAGTTTTGTCACTTGCTGTGGCAAGTCACTTCAACTTCTCTGTTTTCATTTCATCCTCTGTCAGTTCAGGGTCCTACAGTACTTACCTCAGAGGGTAGCTATGAGACTGCAGTGAGTGAGGGCACACAGCATTTAGAGCAGCGACGGGCACACACAGGCTGAGGTAACTATTGCCCTGTGGATATGAGATGAAAGGGCTGGCTTGAGTAATAAAACATTGTCTTTAGTCAGAGATCCCTGGAGGAACTTAACACGTCTTGAAAAAAAGGCTGTCTCTCCATTGCCAGTTGGTTCCACACACGGCCTGAGTGACACAGGTCCTCAGGAACTCGGTCCATTATTTCTGAGTGAGGTAGGGACTGTGCGGCCCCAGGCCCTCCTCTGTCAGCCTCAGAGTCGGCCATGACCAGCTTATCCAGGTCTCTCTATACCAGAGGAGGAGGTATTTAAGGAGGAGCTGCCGGGTAGTGGGCAGTAGCACCTTGGCCCCATAAGCTCTTCCTGGAGCAGCCGTTGAGAAGCAACAGTGGTGACAGACAGATGTCACCAACTAAAAATCGGCTCTGCCCAGCCAGTACATGTCCATTCAACGCAGACATCTGAGGAATAGTCTCAGATCACCCCCATACTGTTTACAAGTCATGACTCCTCAATACACTCTGTTTAATATATGAAGGAAAAAACACATAAAAAATAGGGACAAATACTGCAAGGTCTGGGTGATTAAGAAGGCTACATTACGAACACTGCTGGAATCTTTGGTGTTAAACACAGATGTATAAGATATATACAAATCTTGTAAATAGCCTGTTTATTTTTTTTTTAATAGAAAGCCACAACAGAAAGTGATTAGTATGTAACTATAGAAGAACATTTACATCCAAGAATCAACAAATTCTTCAAATTCATATTTTAAAAATAGTTTGAGTGTTAATTATAGGAGGACCTTGATGGCATCATTTTGTGAACAGTTCACGTTTAGAACAAGCTCAAGACACAGCTTGAAGGCAGCTCTCTTTTTAGACATAAGCATTTTTGTCAAACTGTTTTGAAGGGTTTGAGGTTTTAAAATCTCCTTCTCTGCCGTGATACTTTGTCCGAGAAGACATGACAGATGTGGCCCCATTGTACGTGTATCCCATTCTGAAAGGCAAAACAGTTTGGTAGATGGTCTTTTACACATAGGACAAACAAAAACAGGAAGAAACCATATCCCCCCATTTCTCTCACAGCTAAGTTGTCTTTCCCTGATTATATTTAGCTTTATTCCCGTCTCAGCCCAAGAAATAGTTCAGTGTCATTTCAGATCAGCTAGTGTGACTAAGAGAATCTCAGAAGAAACTTATGGCTTCTTAGTTTGTTCAGTTATTCTCCTTCAAAACTTAAATAAAATGTATCTTCCTGGAATCTTGGAGACTGTGATGACCTTAATCAGCAATTTCCACCTATGTGAAAATTATGAGGCCAAAGTGAAGAATATGCCCCTAAAGTTAGCAAGCTTTCTACTTATGGTGATAGCTTTGGAAGATAAGAATGTCAAATTCGGCTTTTTTTTGATGCTTCATCAAAAAAAATTTTTTTTAATGCTTCATCAAAAAAATTTTTTTTAAATTGAAAGATAATTGCTTTACAATATTGTGTTGGTTTCTGTCCTATATCAACACAAGCTCTGCTTTTTAAACTAATTATCTATTCTATTCAATGTAATTTTACCATATTAAATGTTATATTTACTATATATTCTTAACCTTTCCCAATTTTGGGTGTTTGAAGTTTTTAAGAATCATATGAACTACCTATAATTTATCCCACATATAACAGTTTAGAATAGTATTGTACTTTTTAACAGGTCATTTTTGTCTCTTTTCATACCTGGGTGCTTTGTTGTTGTCAGATATTGAAAAGCAAAATATGACACCACCAATTATGCAGAGTGAGGCTCCTGCCCATCCAATAAACAGAGCAGCTCCTAACTCGTACCTGTGAAGAGTACCACACAAGTGTTAAAGCTTACTGATTTGGGGAGTAAACAGCATTCAACACTACTAGCCAACACTTACTAAATGCTCATAATACACTTGCTATGGGAGCTTACACAGGAAGCAATAATATCTGTAAAGAAAGCTTTATACTTTTCTCAAAGTGTTTTTATAGCCTTCACTCAACTGTATCTTCCCAACATCCCAAAAGGAAGCTGAAAGGAAGCTGAAGGCATCGGCATTCCTTTGGGTAAAGCAGAAGCCGTGGACTCAAGGTGAGGCCTCCTGGCTCTGCCAGCATATTGCCTCTGGGCTCTGCCTGAAGCCCAAACGTTTCCATCTATTTATCCTGTTGTGCAGGGTAAATTATTTAGGCAGGCTTTAGTTGGAAACGGGAAAGTTGCCTCTGCTTTTATTTTAGTTCAACTCAGTAAGTGGTTAAGCATCTGCTGTGTGCAGTCATGTGCAAGGTGCCAAAGGGTGACAGAACACGCCACCCCAACTATGCCACTTTGGCACAAGGAGCCAAAAGCAACTGAGAAGAAGCAGGAAAGCTCTCTGCCTTCTCCCCGTTTGCCTAAAAGCAGGGCATAAATGGTCAGACTGTCCCCCATCCCCTCACTACCAGGAAGAAGTTAATTCTCAGACACTGAACACCCTGCTTAGCCCACAAGTGGCACCAGAGCAATCTACGTGAACAAACTTCACTAATTTGCATCTTTCATTCGTTCCCTCCTCACATTCAGGTTAAGTCACTCTATTGTGACTGACTCTTTGCGACCCCATGGACTGCAGCACGCCAGGCTTCCCTGTCCATCACCAACTCCCAGAGCTTGCTCAAACTTGTGTCCATCAAGTTGGTGATGCCATCCAGCCATCTCATCCTCTGTCGTCCCCTTCTCCTCCTTCCTTCAATCTTTCCTAACCTCAGGGTCTTTTCCAGTGAGTCTGTTCTTCGCATCAGGTGGCCAAAGTATTGGAGTTTCAGCTTCAACATCACTCCTTCCAATGAATATTCAGGACTGATTTCCTTTAGGATTGTCCCTCCTCAGGTGCCTTCCCACAATTTGTGCCTCTAGAAGCTCAAAGTCCTTTTCCTTTGACTTGTCACTTCTCTACAGATGTACTGTTCTTTTGTTAATATGCTATATAAGCCCAAGTTCTAGCCACCCTTTGAATTACATGCCACTGGGTACTCTCCTGTGTAGGGGTGATGCATGTATAAATAAACTCTAGTTTTCTCTTATTAATCTATCTTTCTTCTGAGCAGAGAACCTAGGAGAGTAAAGGAAAAAAATCATTTTCTTCCTCTACAGTGTCCACGATAGATACAGCCTCATTGTGCTTATCACTACAGTCCAGTGAGAGATGAATAAAAAGTATCATTTAGTGACAGCCTGCTATGAAGCCTCTCCTTGATGGCAGGCCACTGGTGACTAGAACAGATGCAAAGGTAAGTAAGACAGCCCTTGCCCTGGAGAGGTCACCATACAAAGGTACAAACAACACTACCGAGAACAACAAAGGAAATGACAGTGGAGGGCTGGAGGATGTTCTTTCAGGGGAGATATGTATATGTATATTTCGGAGGAACAAATATAGAATGAGAAAAGTATACCAAAATTTCAGAGATTGTGGAGTTCTCATGTCTGCCTATCCTTTTCCTGAAGAATTTTCTTTTTTAAAATAATGAAGTGATTCTCAGACTTTTAGCTCACAGACCTCTAACACAAGGTGAAAACAAATGGATGACATTCCCTACCTAATGGTGCTTTTCAGTGTTAAATGAAGTCAGAGGGGGAAGGGTCTGTTTTGATCATACAGAATCCGCAGAGAGGCTGAGAATGGAAGGAAGAGTTGAGAGTAGGAGGGGAAAGTTGGGGTCAAGGTCAGGCTACCCACCCTGAACCTGGTTGCAGGGTCAGGCTTAGGTATCAAGGCCTCCCCACACTGTGGACAGCATCTGGCATGCGTGATCTGTGCGTGACCTGAGCTTTGTCTCATCCTTTCTGGCATGCTGTGTCACTATGTCTGAACTCTCATCTGGGCAGGGGCAGGCAGCGGTGGTGGTGTGACAGTGTGGCCCCGGCCGCCAGCCAGTGGGAGGAGGAAGCAGCATTTACACAAGACAAGGGCCTGGTGGTCTACTTGCCCATTTCCAGATCTGGCTCTTCAGTTAATTTCACAGCTTCCATTTGCAACTGGGAAGAGGTGAATTATATAATACACACTACAACTTGGCGTGTGCATGCATGCTAAGTCGCTTCAGTTGTGTCCGACTCTTTGTGACCCCATGGACTGTAGCCAGCCAGGCTCCTCTGTCCATGGGATTCTCCAGGCAAGAGTGGGTTGCCACTGTTACATAATACACACTGCCTAGTGATCCCTTCTTTTTTCACTCTTGTGTTGCCTTACCTGGGAAATCAAGGTGACAGCTAAAGGAAGGAAGAGCTATAAGCACCTCATCCTGCACTAAAGCACTGATTAGGCTCTGGGAACCGAGAAACTTCTCAAACTGTTTCAATCAGAGGCAGCAGCAGAAAACAAGGTCAGTGTAAGTAGGGAAAAAGCCTTCAGTGTGCACAAAAACCAGCTTGAAAGAGGACTGGACAGTGAAGTGTACAGGTGGAAAGAGCTGGCCAGATCAAGAGTGTTAACCTGGTAGTTTTATAAAAGATACTTTCATTAAATATCATGTTACACATCTACAAAGGATATCCTGGATTCCCACAATAGGCCCTTCTTGTACGATGTTTGGATGACATTATACAAATAAAACAAGCAGAGGGCCTGCCAGGTTTTAGGTACCGGTTAGTGGACCTCTTTAAAATATCTGCAGTTCCTACAGTAAGCTGGTATCCAGTCCATCCACTATCATGCTATTACTGCAAAGACAACTAAAGGATGACCACACTGAACATTTCGACATGGAGGACATTATTACAGGATTACAATTTAACAATACTTTCTATTTTTCTTTATTTTTCTCCTTAGAGCTTAGGCTGTCTTCTCTCCTGAAACTATGCATTAGTATATTAATTTTCAGTGTAAATACTCCTGGAAAAAAACATTCTGAGATTTTTCTTAAAACATTTAGCTTTCTAAAACAGGATGCCAGTACCAGGATCATGGTTAAAAGTAAGTCTCTAATAATTGATAGTGGTCCATTAGGGCATAGGTTGGTAGAACTCAAATCATAGCTCAGCACTGTGAATTCATTTAAAAAGAGCATACAACTGGGTAGAAATCAGAAGATAACTACCCACACAGCTCAGACGTTGGCAACTACTTGTTTATATTCATTTAAGCAAACTGAAACTTTCTGAAGGGATTTAAGAGTCACCAGTATGGTTTATAGTAAAAACTTGTTTGGGAATTCCCTGGAGGTCTAGCGGTTAGGACTCTGAGCTTCCACTGCAGGGGGCACGGGTTCAATCCCTGGTCATGGAACTGGTTCACTTACTCCTATTTTTAAACATATTTTTAGATTTTCTAAAATCTAAACATAGACTCTATTCCAAGGAGATTATCATTTCCTTTTGAGCTTTTTATGAATTCTGTCAGAGTCAAATATTTAATAAACAGAACCATTTTAAAGCTAAAGTCTTGAAGAGACTCCACGTCTATACCAATAGCTTCTAACAATTGGATGCGAGGGATTCTGAGATGTGGTTCTCTCTCTTAGAGACTTTTTCTTCTTCCTTCTGTTGAAAGACACATACAGCAGACTTATTCAACAGTGGCTTGAATTCACACCCATCAGTATACGTGATCTGGCAAAAACAGAAGTATTATTGAAAGACAGGACTGAGAGTGAGCCACGTAACATCCATTCAGGTTTGTTCCGGGCCACGGCTCCTCTGACATTCATTGGGAAACTCCATCTCTGCGTGGAAATCTTTCTTCACTTTTGGTAACACTGAGAAGCTGACTTCAGCGCCTCAGGAGATCATCCAAATTTCAGATGATCTGCTGCAGGTCTGTCTTTTGTTAACAATATCTTCCTGGCCCTAGACCAGCTTTCCCACTCTTTACTGAGCTGTTAGAATTGCCAAAATTTCTTCATTATTTGGAAAGGCTACCAGTCTGCTTAGCACCAGACAGATGCAGGATCGACAGGCTGAGGACTGATCTCTGTTTTACAGATCAGAACGTTGTTCTTGGATTATCTCTCACATATTCTGTTCAATGGGAAGGACTCATAAAAGCAGGCTTATGACCTGAATTCATGTATATAATTGTGAATCTTGTAAACAAGTAATAGGGAACATTTTTCTTTCTATAGAAAGTAAAGCACAGATTAATGACCAAATTTTCCCAAAAAAGAACCATAATGCTCAAAGGCATTAAAATACACCTTGAATTACTAGAGGAAGTTAATTCTTATTCACCTGGCTGTGCTAGGCTCCAGACTACTGTTCATTTCCTAATGAGAGCGCCTGGGCTAGAACCACGCTCAGTGGTCTAAATTCTTATGCATTTCATATTTACCTACTATTTTAGCCTAGTAACATGCACAGTAATCCTTAGGGAATGAATTGAGGAACACCTCTTATTTTTACCTCTTTATCTCTGTCTTTCTTGCACCCAAACCCCTGTTATCATTTGATCTGCCATCTACAGGGAGCACGTGTATCCCATCTACCCTGTCACCTACCTCTGATGGCAGGTGACAACATCACAGAAGTGACAAGCTAGATATTGTTCGAATCATGTGTTTCAGGGTGAATGAGAGAACACAGCGCTGTTCTCAAGCATCTTACAGTCTAGAGGAGATGGTCAGACATTAAACAAATAATTAAAGGACACTGACGCCTGACAACAGAAGCAGAAGAACATGTGTTTGCAAAGTAAACGCTACATGTTCTCCCAAATCCGTATAGATGCGGTTCAACTAAGAGTCCACTGTAACAGCAGCTACTGTCAGATCACTATACCAGGATTTTGTTTTTTGTGTTAAGTATTTTGGCATGTATTATCATATTTGATCTTCACTTCTAA